AATGACATCTACCTGGGAGTCTAAGTACTTACAGACTCAATCTAAGTATCTAGATGTCTTTGAGTCTAATCTCTCTCCATAATTCTCAATAATGATGGGTCTTTGCGTACCTTAACCTCTTCTAGCCCAGATAGGTATGCTTTGAAAATGTGCATCTTGACTCTGGGCTCTTTCATCTTGGTGGTCTGGCTTTCGGCTTTCGCTGCTTTGCTTGCATGTAAGGGATGTATGTACAGATCATCAGAGTAATAAGCTTGGTAGGGATTTTCACTATGACATCTCTGATCAACATCTCACAAGTCTGGGGTAAAATAATTTGATGATCTCTTTGCACATGCCCTATTCTCCTTTTTTTCTCCCCTGGGATGAGTGCCACTCACGATCAAGGAATGTTGACGTGATTGTGGTTGGTTGAATTCTCCCGAGGAGGTTGATATCGATATTGTTCACGTCGTGAAATTTGAGTTATTTGTTTTGTAATTTGAGTTATTGCTTATTGTTCTTTTTAAATTAAATTGTTAAAGCTTTTAGAAAGTTTGCTGCAATATCACGGATTCCATGTTGGCAAAATATTGGGAATATGGATTTTAGACTCTCGTAAATGGGATTTTGCAGAATGGGGAGTTGGGAACTACCCAGTTCCTCACGACTCGGTGAAAGTCTATCTACCGCACTAGACGGTGACGCTTGATTGAGTAGAATTCTTCGTTAGTTTGTATTACTCGAGTAATTACAGTCTAGTAGATCTCAGATTAGATTATCTACCTAGTGAGTTCGTACATAAGATAGTTTTCTCAAGTGCGTGCTAACCAGGTAGGTAACAATTGTGCATTCTCTATCATTTTCGTTTCAATAACCTCATAGGTTGAGAACTGGCCAACGCTTCCCGTCCACGCATGACGCTTGTCTCATGTCACGATCTGCAGGGTCTTGCCTGATTGGGAAGTTGACCATTTTTTTTAACCGTCTGGAGCTCTGACCTTGGGCTCACTACCATACCTAAGTAGATACTTGGTTTGGATTGGATGATAAGCAAGTATGATGCATAATGAATTCAAGGATCTCTTCATCGACAGCCCAAAATCCTACCCTAAGAACTTTTAGCTCCGTTCTCCTGTTTCCCAAATTTCAGGGTCTAACAGTTCACTAGTTCACTAGCCCACTAATCTACTAGTCAGGGTAATAGGTTGCTTGGTTGTCTATCTGTGATCTAAGTTTGAGGGGAAACAGAATGTATATATTGGCTTGAGACCGCATGATATTTATTTTCCATATCATACAATCATCCAGCTTCAAATCTACACACAATCAAAGCAAACAATCAAACGTTTAAAAACAACACCACAAGCCTTCAATACCATCGAACAACTTAACACTTCGAATTCAAATCTTCCATCTTCAAAATCTCTATTCCACATTCAAAATGTCTTCCTCAACAGCCTCATATCCTTCTAACGGCTACATGTCCCACGAAGAGCATGAAAGCTCTCCAGATGCCTTCTCTCTCTTTGACTACGCCAGATCCATGCACGAGCACACCAGAAAGCAAATGGAAGCTGCCGATAAATCTGCACGCCGAAGAAGTGCCAACTCTATGGGTTCAAACTCACACGCCACTTTGAGAACCGGTCACGAGGCCACCACTTCCATGGATAGCAGCAGCAGTGGCAGTTCAACTTCTGGATCGCGATAAAAAGTTTTTATTCAAGAAATTTAATATAAACATGCATGGAGGGAGCAGATATCTCACGACATTGCTCTGCTGGAAGAGCAACGTAATGATATGAGTCTGATGCATACAATATTTCACGACGCCCGAAATGATTTGCCTCTGGTGCCGGTAACTTTACATACATAACGTATACGAGAATACTCCTACGGGAAGGCATGGAACGGATTTGGGAAAATAGCATTTATATACGACAATGCGGCGTTTTAATACATGGGGATTTTGGGATATATCTTGTATGAATAGCATTTGTTTGAGCGAGGGAGTTAGGAGGTGTGGTGGGTGATTGTGTGATGTCTGATAACGACAATATTTTTGAGGAGAGATTATCTTGAATGATCTGCTAGGAATTTAGTCATTGTCGACTGGTGATAGGGAGACGGTTGATGAACTAGTTGATTATCATCAATATTATATCTTCATCCACATACAATTTACCTTTTTGAGTGAGACTTTACGATTGTGACAACTTACATTTACATCTACAATAACAAAATCCACAAAATTCCTCATGTTTCAAAAAACAAATCTAATATTTCTCAACTTCTGTTCTACTCCCACAACCATCCCATTATTCAATTCACGAGTCCAAATCTGCATCCAAATTCTAAGTTTTCCCATTTCTTTTCTTTTCCTTTCCTTTCCCTCGCCCCTATTACCTATCTACCATCCATTTCGTCACCACCTCACACCTCGCTTACATAATTTACCTGTCCCATGACTTTTCTATGCCAACCCAGCCACAAACAAACAAACAACGCCACACTGTTTCACCTAAGACATACATAAATAACACAGCCGCACTAAGATTAACATCCACCGCACACACTGCCTTGATTTCTGCAATGCGCGTAATGGAATTCTTGATTTTGATGGAGAGTTCTGGGATGATAGGTAAGTAGTTGGAAAGGTAGAAAGGTAATTATAATGAGAGGTTGGGATGATACGAAGTTTTGATGGGGTGTTTGGGTTGTGTGGGGATGGAAAGCTGAGAGGGAAGGCTGGGATGGAATGTATGATTAAGGGTGAGTGAAAGCTGGAATGAATCCACGATTTGTTGATGTGTGGTTTTTATGTTGGGGCTGATGTTGATGTTGACATTGATAATGATTTGACGTTATTGTGTCTGATTATCTTGATCTTGAAATCCTAAAAAATCGGATGAGGTGACGACTAATTAATTGTATGAGTAAATATTTAAGGATGGGTGATGGAAATGACCGAGTGGTTTTCATCTTCTTAGAGGATGTGAGGATGTGACATTTTGGGGGGAGGGGGAGGGGGGTTAATTGATATACATTCTTTCCACCTGGAATTTGGATAGAGAATACATTTCTTTTCACCCGGTATCTGGATAGAGATGTATATCTTCTTCCTCTTCTTGTTCCTTTCCTCCTGGTCGCTATTTTACGCTGCCACGCTTAAGATATCATTTTTACACACTTTGTTTTCATATCTTTACCTTCATTAATTCTCCTGCTCAGTATAGATTACTCTGTTTCTAACCCGGTTTTTACTTCATAATTCTCTTTATCTACAATCTAATAATAATACATACTCGCTACATCTCCATCGCTGTAGTATTCGGAGCCTGATGGTACCTCTCACGTCATATCATAATGGGTAGTATACGCTATGTATATACCATTATTCTCCCCACAATACTAAACTTTATGGATATATGTAATGACAGGATATACCGACCGGATGAGCTTAAGATGACGCCCTAATTCCCCGAATCATACCCTTTGAGAATAATCCCGGCCTCTGTTTCTGCTTCGATGCGTATGCGATTAGTATCTCGTGATGTTGATTGAAATCTTTCATATGTGATATTTGGCTAGTGTCTTTACAGTTATCATTACCACCATTGTATATATTTATTGAGAAAATGGTGAGTAGATTAATGGAGGTGAGTATTTGATTTATATTTATATACATATTATACATACCGAGTAGTCTTGGCAGAGTAGCTATCCTATTCGTATTGATTCCGTGGAGGTGAAGTCAAGAAAGCTAGTTAGCTGCTAGTTGGATATGGAATCGTATATACCTACCCCATTACCCCGCATCGGTACTTCAATACCCCTTGATAATACGCGATGAATGATTTGATCCTTGCAGGTGTAAGAAGTCTAATGCACCTTCCCAGCATTCACGAAGAAGTCGTTAATCGCTAATTAAAATTGATGTGGACAACCTTCATGCGAATCTGATCTCTGGAAAAGTAGAAGAGAAGTGCAATGTGCAGATGGAACGCCGGTCTTTATAGTTAGTAGTTGTTGAAAATCCTGCTGCAGAACCACTCCTGAATCGCTAAAGCTGTTAGGCATGATGAAAATCCACACGTTAAACATTAGCTCAGGTAGGGAGTTGGTAGGATTGAATCATTAAGGTACGTACATCTACGGAGAAGTTGAGACGAAAGAATTTAATGGGATTATGTTCATTCACATGAGATTTTGGAAGACATGTAACTTATCAACTCCATAGCGCATGCAAATACTGAAACTGTTCATTATCTGTCGTAAAGGTTATTGGCATTTTGTGCGTCGGCGAAATCTTACAAGATTTTATTCTATAACTATAAACCTCGAGGGATGCGCTAGCAGAAGTAATACTAAATTCAGATTACCATCGCTCGCATATTTCCCGGTAATTGCCCCAAAGCATCATCTGATATCACCGTTTCCAATCATTCATTCACTATACTCATCCATCCCACCACCCTCTCATCCGAACCCCCTTTCAAAGAAAGCCCCACAAAAACATTCAACTCCCCAACCCCAACTACAAAAGATACACAGACTCGTTCATTACCATACCCATCAGGCATATACAGGATTGACTGTATACTGAATGAGAATGCGCACCTTCCGATCCATCACTCGCCAAGCATCTTAAGGATTAGCTCAGACGGGGCTTCAGGTCTCCCTCGCCCGACACCTTTGAGAAAACGTTTCGGATGTTACGTGAAAGTTTTCTTGTGGCCATGGTCAGTTTTATTACCATTGCACCACGGAGGTGTCTGCTTCATAGGATGTTGGAATGGGAGAGTTCGGGGATTATAAAGGTGAGCGAAAATGGTGCGGGGGGTTGGAATATTCACTTTTATGGGTATGGGATTTTTTGTGGTGATATGATATTTGAAGATAGGTAGAAGAATCACCGTCGGCCATAATTCATGGAGAGTTTCATGTCAGCTTTGTTTCAGCTGGCCCATTTTCTGGACTTAGATGGATAGATAAAAATCAAGACCAATACCCAGATTTCACGCTGCGATATCTTCAAGCCTTCGCGCCAGAAATCGTATCCATAAATTTCCAACCTCAACAGCCATATAATCCTTCCATTCGCGTTCAAATATTACATCATCATGCGAGTGACCAAACTGGATATCAAATGTACGGACTATGCGCGCAATGACCAAGCGTAGTTCATGGAGCGCCAGGGTTTTGCCTACGCACTTTATATTTGTAAGTTTTGTTTCATGCCTTTAAATAAAAATGTACAACGAGGAAAGTGAATAAAACAAATGTTAGAGCTGAGGATTCACCGCAGCATAAATATCTCTACTTACTGAATGAACACCATAACCAAAGGGTATATACGCCCTCCTATCTCTCACCAACTCAGGTCTTTCACGTGTCCATCGTTCCGGAATAAAACTTTTCCCTTGTGGAAAATATCGCTCATCTGTCATGAGTACCAAATGCGACATCTCGACTTGTACATTTCCAGGAATTTGTACACCTCCAACCTCGATACCTTGTGGATAAGTCGTTGCATGAGGGCCAGATGGAATGGGATTATATAATCGTAGAACTTCGTCAACTACCGCATTCAGATATTCTAGATTCCTGATGGAATCAATAGTTATTTCCTTGTATTTGCCCGTGGCCGAGCATAGGTCATCAATTTCTCTTTGAAGTTTGGAAAGTATTCGTGGCTCCTTCGCAAGCGCTCTCAACGCCTGTGTCAATGTTGAAGATGTAGTATCTGACCCAGCTATGATGATTAAATTGGCATTAGAGTTCAACTCTTTTTGAGTAAACTTCTCACCACCATATGGATCTGCGGATAATAAGTAGGAAAAGATATCTCGATAGGTTGAACCGTGTTCTTGTCGTTCCATAAGCATTCTTTCGCCTCTCTCGCGGAACATTCGAACATCGGAGGTTTCGGGCATGTACGTAAGAAGCTGTGCTAGATTTCGTAGGGATGCAATAATCTGTTCGTATGTTAATTGGGGTGATGTGCATAGGCGGTATTTACCCACGACAGCGAATGACATATACTTATGAACATATGACATATATGAGTTGTCTCCTGTACCATCTTGTAGGCCAGCATGTTTTGAGAAACTCAAATCTGCCATGCTTGGAATAATTAGACTCTATGAGCTATAATTTGACAGTACTAGGGGTTGATATACATATCGAAAGTAAGGTCGTCCATTGCCTTTGAAACATTCACCTCTTTCCTGTCTGCTTTGAGCAATATCTGTATCATTTTATCCACATGGATTTCTACCCTCGTATTATACTCCTTGACAGCACTGCTTGAGAAGCCTTTTTCCCTGCACAAATTTAGAATCAAACTATATACAGAATGAAAGACTTACCAGATTCTTCTCCACTGTCAAAGTTCGTCAGCATGGAGTATCGCTTGTTCACATGATGTATAAAATCACAGGGTATTAAAACCACTTACAGAAGTGTGTTTTCCATAGTCTCTGGTCGTATTTAAATTGACCTCTCCATTGATAGCTCCAATCTCATAAAATGTACCTCTTGGGTATTTCCCCGAAAATACCTCGGTCACCGCATCTGCATTAATGATGGAAACCTCGTTAGGACCTATTCTGACAACATCACTTTTATATTGTTTATGAAGAGCTTCAATAGTATAAGATGTACGGCCGAGTCGAAATTCATTGGCAATGAATAGTTTCGTGAGAGCGAAACGTGCTGGTCCGGGAATGTGAGATAATGGAGAGAAGTAGAGTCGACGAAATGCAGTGAGAATAATCGCAGTAAGGAGAAAGGTTATGTTCAAAGTGAAAAGATGAATGATGACTTGAAAGATCCCGGTGCTTGTAAAAGTAAGGTATAAGAAAATAACACAATTCGATAAGAAATATACAGAGATAACTTTTAGAGTGGATGGTTCATGAATGGGAGAAAGAAGAACTTGGCATGCGATAGCTGCCATCATCGTTGTGAAGGTCTCCGCCATTTTCATCGTGAATGATGATTAGTAGTATGTGGAAGTCAAGTATAGGAGATGATTCAGGATAAACCGCTGGCGTAGGAGGGTTGAAGCTCTTTTACACAGATATTCTGATGAGGTGAGGTCAAGCTGAGGTTACAATCTTGTGATGAAACGCCATTTTCAGCCCACGACAAGCTGGTTACACTGCAGAAGCGCCTATGTATCTTATCATGTACCAAAAGAAATAAATGACAGAGAAATCGAAAGCCTTATTAAAATACTAAGTAGTATATAGATAGATGAAGAAATACATAAATAAGTTCCACTAGGATCCCGTGATATCGACATTTCTCGTTCATTTTATCTTAAGTCGTTGATCGTTCATGGCATACTCTGAGCGCAACAAATGGCACTCCAAAATGGAATCCTATTTATCTAAGCCCAAAACTGTGAAGTATAATTCGATTGTAAGTTTTAAATCACTGTATTTAGAAGGACTAGGATGGAAAAATTCATCTTCCTTAAAAGTATGGCGCTAAGAGTTTTGAAAGGTAAGAACATTGGGGTGCGAACAAGACCTCAGAAGGAAGGTGGCTGCCGACAGGGGCTTAGTGTATGTAACATTGTTGTATGCGATGCTCCTTTCGACCGTTGTTGCACGAAAATAGCATCACAGGAAATCATTGCATTCTTTCTTATCAACTTAGATCCCGCGAAGCAATACACAATCAAGATTCATTGCCTAACATTCTTTAGTATCAGAAATTTAATTCAATAATCCAGCACACAATCGAAACCCGGAGAATTACTACAGTATGGCGCATAGCATCGATACCGACTATTCACCTTCGTCCTTTTCACGGCTTCCAAAGAACCTTCGATCTTCGATATGGGGGTTCGTACTTCCAGATTCGAGAATTGTATTCTTAAAAAAGTATGCTATTTCTCGCTGTGAGCACGCCATGGTCAGAGTACGCTCAGATTTGGCTGTACCGGATAGATGCAAAGACGGTGCTCGCCCTGATTCATCCAAAATTCTTTGCAACGGTATGGATGACATACTACCGCAGGACGTCAAAGATTTGGAAGAAGTTCGGGCACGCATCAAGCATGATGGTCAATATTGTTTCTCATCAAATGCACAAATTCCAAATTTGTTGTTTATTTGCAGGGAATCATACAGCTTCGCCATCATAAAATACAAACGAGCGTTTCCGTCTGTTGGAGCTTTTGCTGAGACCTACTTCGATTACAAAAGAGACATATTATTACTCGTTGGGGAACAAGTAGTATGTGTTTGCGGCTGGCAATGTTGTGAACCTATGACGGCATATGAGGCAAGTAAAATTCGTCATATTGCTTTTCAATATGAACCAATGTCAAAAGGGTCCGCAATTTATCAAAACGATAAGATAGCCAACACTTCCAAGCTTGCTAGACTATTGTGTACGTTCTGCAAGGCCAAGAGTTTAACGATTGTGATTGAAAACTATCGAAGTGACGATCACGAGAATGGCATAGCCGAGAGTCAGAGAGACAGTGAGCTGGTATTCTTCGAGCCAGTGGACATCGGTGAAGCTCTGCGCATGCTGCGTTCGCCTGTAACTAAACGTAGTGATCTTTACGGAGTATTGATTCCTGAGCATTCTTTACGAAATAGATTAGACTTCGATAAGAAACTTCTCTACGATCTTCAATCAGAAGACGACGCAAAAGGCTTAAGGTGGAAAATGCCGAGACTCAGATGGATAAATCTAACGACTGCCACGTTCAAAAGGAGATTCAAAAAATTGCTAGAAGAATACGAGCTACGTACCGGCGTGACCTGTTACAGAATTGCAGAAACTGACATTTTTTGTCTGAATTCTGAGATCATCAAATGAATTCATTCTGTCGGGCAGACTCGTTATGTTGAATATTTTCAACCTTTGGAATAAACTCAACAATTAAAATATTGCTATCGGCGGTCTGCTATCAGGAACTGTTGGATTCCCTGGCCTGATGTTCATTTTGGTGTCTGAATCCTACACGCCGGAAGTGGTATGTGAACAAAATTACCCTTGAATGCTACGATATTTTCTGTGCTATTGTTTTTGGGGAAGGGAACAAGTAAAGGTTATCACTATAACTGTTATGACACATGATTATAACAGTTATAAGGACCTTATATACGTATTTTGGAGAAGGATAAACTTGTATAATAGTATAATTGGCGATTGTAGGAGCCTGGTGCCACTTTACTATACCGAAAGGTTGTTCTAATTGTATTTCCCCGAAGTCTTTGGAGACAAAACTAACAATGGCAAAGCAGTATATTATATCGCAGATTGGTAGGAACGGGCGAACAGTGGTTGTTGAGCGCATGGTTGAGTAATGGCTATTGAAAGCTTGACTCGCGTTTAGAATGATCAAGTGTGGGGAGTATAATTACTAATATGAATAGGCAACTATGCTCATTCTCTTATGTAATTACATAAAACTACAAAGTAAAATACCTCTTACGCTGATTGATTAGTATGAATCAGGAGATGTGTAACATATCCGGGTGCCACAAATCCTGTTCGAAGCTTCCGTTATTGCACATCATAATGCATTGCCTGACGGGCTTTGCTTTGAATATGCGGAGGAGGGTTTAATGGGCGCATTTCGTCTTTCGAATCGTTGTGGCTTATAGTTGCACCATTGCTGTACGAGCAAGAATAACATGCCATGAAGCAAGGTAAGGCTGTTTCGTGGCAAAGTGCTACACCAATGCGGAAACTTGCAGTTCAGCACCAAATGAGGGAAGTACATCCCGAGTCTAGAATCTATGGCCAATAGGTTCTTCATATCTTTCGGTGCAATGTTCACGAGTATTCGAAGTCGGGTAGTCTGGTACCACAAGCGTGGATAAAGGCATTGAAGTTGTCTTTCAACTGTGATCTTCCTTTGTTACCTTTCCTCTCTACACTCATCACACATCCTTAAACTCATTGAAGAACTTTCGAGAGAATAGTTTGAGCATTCCTTCATGGCATTGCTTGGCACGACAGTGGAGGCTCGCCACGAGCAGCTGAGTGATTGTTTGCGAGCGGATAAAACGCGCCCGGTTTGCATCGTTGGCCTGATTATTAGTTGGATATTTGGCTCTGCGATTCTCGCGTTTGGCATAAGTCTTCATGTTCGTCGTGGATGTATCTGGAATGGCATCGATTTTATCCGAGTTGTGGAATTCATCAGTGGACCCATCAGCGAGGCTATTTCCCTGATTATCAATATGATAGTAACGCTTCTCAACGAGAGCATGGGTTATGTTCATAGCACAGCGCTCAGGGCTCAGGCAGTCTTTGCAACGGGAGGAACGACTCAGGTTCAACTCAAACCTCCACCTTTTTTCAAACTCGAAGAGTTCAAAGTCTAACTCAGTAAGTTTTCGGGTAGCCTTTCTGTGGGGGTGATCACATCTCAAGTCTGTGTCTACTACCTCTCTACAGCGGGGGCTATCAACTTTATGAGAAACGATATAAGGCTTAATTACACTTGAAGACATGTAATATAAAAGAAACCTGCACATCGAAACGGCTTCATTTATTCCAAGGCTCAAATTTTCAGTTTTCAGATACACAGGATCTCAGGGTGTTGCTCTTCGCCTATTTTCCCACAAGGATTGAGATTCTAGTAGGACAAAGTGGGTGATACGAAAAACGCCACGCATTGTAATAGGTTAGAAGATCCCAACACAGCCTTCCTATAATTTTTGGACACATGATTTCCATAGCACCTCGCAAATAATTCTTGTTCTAACATAGCCTCGTTAGGCCCAATTAGCCTTGGCGCCGGGTAGTAAGCCTTCTAATGCTCAAAGATGCTCAGCAATTTAACTTGACTATAAAACTGGAGAACCGGCCTCTTTTATCACTCTGCAGACCACTCGAAATCGAGAATTCGAAAGATTCGCAGCTAAGCGCCATCGCCAGTGAAAATGGAGGCACTTGCTGCTCTCAGCCTTGCGGGCAACGTTATGCAATTTGCGGACTTTTCTAGTAAAATAATAGCCGAAGCTCGTGCAATAGAAAGGAATGGAGAGTCGTCGTCAATTGCTGATCTCCAGCGCTTTGCTTCAAACTCTACGAAGCAGGCGGGAATCATCAAATCTCGTCTTCAGGCTAGCTGTCACACAAGACCTCTCAGTGAAGAGAATCAGGTTAGGGTTTCAAGAAAGTTTTAGCCATCCGCTAACTTTAGAATTATAGCATCTTGTGGATTTGGCAACAGACTGCGAACAAGCCGGACATGAGTTTGCAAGTTATCTGTCCACATTTTCGAGTTCCCGAACGACACGAAACTTCCTACATAATCTGAAGGACGGTATCAGAATTCGATGGCGACAAGAAGAAATCGTTACCTTCGTCGAGAAGCTCGAGAGCTTTCAGAGCGCCTTAACACTTGCAACAATACTCGCCTTTCGATCCAGTGTTGACGGCAACAACAAGGATATCGTATTTCATTTGAAGGCACTGCAGAAGTCAAGCGACGAAAACAGCGCCGAAAGCATTAAGAACAACGAGCAGATCAAAATTACACTGATGGCTATGCAGTCACATTCTGCCTCTAATCTGGCAATGCAACAGAAATTGCAAAATTGCCTGGGCGAAATCAGCTTACTGCATCGATCCACGCCGCAAAATCAGACCATCTTGAAATGGTTGAACTTTCGTCAAATGGCTTGGAGATACGAAGAGATATGCGCCGCTTATCAAGAGACATTTCAATGGATCTTCAGGCCGCCAGGTCCAGCCGATTCATGGGATGATTTTGGCAACTACTTAACTGGAGAGGGCATTGACGCGCCTTACTTCATCAATGGAAAGGCCGGAAGCGGAAAATCAACACTTCTCAGATTCATTGTCGATAATGACCAAACATATAACAAGTTAGCTCTCTGGGCGCCGCAGAACCAGCTCCTTGTGCTCCACTTTTTCTTTTGGAATTTGGGCACACCATTACAGAAGAGTCGGACTGGAATGCTCCGGGCTATCCTTCACGAGGCACTCTCCAAGCATCCTGAGCTCATCCCAGCAACGCTTCCAGACATATACAGCAACTGGAAGGACTCTTATGTGAATGATGAACCTACCTTTGCGGAGATGAAAAGAGCACTAGAACTCTTTATAGAGAAAGCTTCAAAATTTCTCAAGATATGCATCTTCATTGACGGCGTAGACGAGTTGGCCGGCGACCATAAAGAGTTAGCGCAATTTATTCATTCACTTACTGGAACGAATGTCAAAGTCGTGGTATCCAGCCGGCCCATCAATCCAAGTGTCAACATCTTCCGGGGCTGTCCAACCTTGAGATTGCAAGATCTCACAAGACACGATATGGATCAGTACATCAGGGGCAATCTGGTGGACCACCAAGCTATGTGTCAAATGTCGAAGTGCGATCCACAAGAAGCAGGAAACCTGGTCTCGGAGATCAAATTGAAGGCTGAAGGCGTCTTTCTCTGGGTTCGCTTGGTTGTACGACTTCTCATGGATGGTCTTGAAGCTGGCGATTCAATCATGGACTTGCAAAAAAAACTTTATTCACTTCCTAGGGACTTGAAAGATCTGTACCGGAGAATGCTGTCGATAATTCTTCCTGAGTACCAGGTACAAGCATCTGAAATGCTTCAGATGTTCCATGTCTGGAATACCTACACTTCGCATCAGCCACTTGGCGTGGTCACTTTTGCATTTGCTATGCACCCCTCAGATGAGGCATTTAACCGCCCAGTTGCCCCTCTGAATCTGGATCAGTACATATGGCTGTACAACAGTACGGAAGCGCGAATCCAAAGCCGGTGCTGTGGTCTCCTGGAGGTTGGAAGAGACCGTGGTCCCATGAATGCTGCTTTGGATTGGGCCTCTGGCGAAGAAAATGATGGTTCGGTGGTGAGATATATGCATCGAACAGTTGGTGAATTTCTAGTCTGCGGCGAGGTATGGGAAGAGATGAATGAGATGACACAAAACTCTGGATTCAATCCAGCTTTGAACCTTTCCTCAGCTTGTCTTTCCATGCTCAAGTCGGCGAGCACTATCGCTACTGCAGCAGCATTGAAGATACTATTTGGCAATCTAATCAACTTTCTTGGATCATCCATTTGCTTTGAGGGTCAACTTTTGCCTGACTATATGCAATGTATGGAGGAATCGATGGTCAAAAATCCAGACCTCTTCAGCCATCTCTTTGGTAGAGAAGGGGTTCAGAATGGAGATTGGTTGCGCTACTTCCGCTCCGATGTCGAGAAGGCTATCAGCAAACATGAGGCAGAACCATTCAAAGTATTGGACAAAATACCCTATAAAGTTAGTAAGTTTGGACAATATGTGCCTCCAGGAGCCCCTCAGAAGCCACGTCCTAGTGTGAAAACATCTCTGGGTCGATATGAACGTCCTTCCTATGAGTTTCGCCAGTACGCAGACTCTTCGGATGAGTACACAGACTCTTCAGATGAGTACGAAGACTGTTTGCATGAGTGTGCAGACTCCTCGGATGAGTGAGCTTGCAACTTAGACGTAAGAACTAGTCCGTTATTCGCTCGCTTTCAATCGAGCCACAGTCATTCTTGTATCAGCCATAGTCTTTATCCTATGCAGGAACGGATATTGAAAGACATAGAAGACAGGAACAGCGAAATACAAATAGAACGTGCGACTATGACAAGATCACAAGTATGGCATGAGAAATTCCCAAAGACCAAGACAGAAACGCCGAAAACGATTCGAATCGCAAAAGAGATGTTACGATAGGACGTAGGACCACGAGAGAAACAAGAGGAAGCAGAGGGCCATCCCTAGCCGGCACCAATGATAATAGCCGTGAATCAATGAGACAACATCGCCACACCAACTCTCCCCCAAACCCTAAGCCCCAGGTCTGGATTCCTCACTCCTTCCCCGCCGCAGCGGCGCAATCACGTTTCAAACTTTCAGACGGAAACCCACACCCCGGAATACGTTTCAAATTCGATCCGATCCGACTCATCTGTATCAAGATCCCAGTTCAATTGATTCTATTGTAAAATTGACACATAAATCATGAAGAAATGCGATGAACTTTCAAAGCGCATTTGTCATCCATTGTAGTGTAGTGTGTTTTTAAGGGTAGCAGAAACATCAAAATATTTTAGATTACGTAATACGAAGATCATCGCGAAGCATTCCCAATTAGGTACAAGGTTACGATACGATACGGCTTTTTTAATTCCCGGATATCATGCTGTATACACAAAGTACATGTTGCGACGTACATACCTACCTAGGTAATATAGACCGGCGAATTTCTTTCGCACAACTCGGCTTATTTTCAAGCCACGAACTATCATGTGTGGGTGGTTTAGTCCGAAGCCTCGTGATATTTCCGCACAGAGTACGTACGTACTACATACAGCAGGCAGTGTTACCGCTATTTCACTACATACCATATACTAAGTAGACCAGAGAAGGTGGGGGAAGCATACTAGCAGTTGTTTTCGTGATTTTGATGAATGGTATGCCGATTATGGAGTAGTTAGTGGTCGACTTGAAGTCTTGGGTTCCGGAAGCTGGATGGAAGGATTCTTCCGTGAGCTTATCATTTGGATAATAAGCATAGTCAGTTGGCCATGTAACGGATAACGGAAGACAAGTCTTTCTTGGTTGGTATGAGCCCAAGTTACCCATATAGATGGAGATAACGGGAACTCTGAAGGCGGGAAAGATGGGGTTTGAGCCGTGTGGTTGGAGTAGGTGGTCTTTCTAGGGCGATGGCTAGGTACAATAGTACGATTAGATGTGGGAGGATACACATACTTTGTAGATATTGATCGAGCAAGTACCTAGGTAGAGATGCCAATTAGTCTCTTCTCCAATATCGTCCTCGTGAATCTTTCCACCTTCGCAGTTTTCAATTTGCCAACTTGGAAATCACTTACATACATGCATTTAGATCGACAGCGTTAATTATCACTCTACAGCACATCAATCAATCAAGTTGATCAATCAGCCCCAAACGACAATCCTTGAAAGGCTGCCGATCTATTACCCCAAATCATGAAAATTATTGAAATCTGACAACAGGGCCGGCTAGACAGAGTAATTGAGCACACGACTGAGCACACGACTGAGTACGTACACGACTACGAATCTAACGTGGTCTTTTATATTTAAGAAATTATTAGACTTTTAACGTTAACTGGTGGTAGATGCTTGGCATATTTAGTGGTGGCACTGAGGTGCACTGTCGAGTCTTAAGTCTTGACTCGTGAGGCTTAAATGGGGTGGGTTAAAATGGAATACGATGTACATGTGTATCTTTTTGATGGGACGAAGATAATTAGATGCTCCTTGAACATCGGCTTTAGTTTTCCCCTTTCCATGTACATTCACGAATCTACTTCAAACTCCAAAACTGGTTGAATATAAGAAGCAAATAAACTTTTCACGTCGTGGCCTCTAACGTTTCAACAAGTCGTACTCAAATCAATTTGCATCCTGTCTTTTCCCGTAGTACAATTTTGCAAACGAAATACACAAGGAAGCGTTTATCCATCCAATCCATCGTTCGTGGAACGCCCTTATAATCCGAATTGGTATGGAGATGACGCGTACGAAATATTATTTATGATTTGTTGACTCCATGTTCCTTTCCCTTATTAGCGAGTTACATCTCTCTTTTTATCTATCTAGGCTATCTAGGTAATTAATGGGTCTGTGTTTCCGTGACCCCCCTGAATAGGTGACGAACTTTGGTCAGCTCAGCCATCGCATGATGAAACTTTTGTGTTTGGAGAATGTTATCTATGAAGATGAGAGAGAGAGAGCAATATGGAGAAAGAAACGACTGTTAGCTGGGAGATGAGAGATGCTTCTTGATGTTATAGCTTATGATCTAAATGGGCTAAAGGCTAAAGCAAAGAAGGATTAACACGTATATGTATATAGGTATGGTATTAGCGCCGGCAGGTAGCCAAGCCCTGGGCTGACTGACAAGAAAACATGACATTGGCCTGGTCATGGAACAAGTTGTCGGTTACTCGGGCTGAACCTTGTCAAAAGCTTTACAAGGCTTAGAGTTCTATATACCCTCTCTATCAATACACTCCATATCTACCTAGTAGGCAGCTATATATGAACATGAATGTTTGATTGAGGAACATCTTTGTACCTAGGTAATACTTCGTAGAGACAATCACCATGAGATAGTCAGAATGGCATCAGATCTAATCATCTAACTCGCATTGAAAAGATTTCCATCTATTTAAAATAAGCCCCTTGTATCAAACAGCTTAAGTACTTAAAAAAGCTTGTCTACGTAATCCATCTGAAATATCCTAATTGCACTTGCTTCACTTCGATCACTTGCCGCGTAGGACCAACCACCGATTGGCTGAAAATACTAGCAAAATCCAATGAATTCTCCAACGCTACCGCGGCTACATGTCATTTCACATTGCTTGCATCCCAACCCATCTAATCAATCCATGACCGGGATTCATAATAATAAATCTTCTCGCTATCAAAGAGGAGGAAGGAAATGGGATAAAGTCCGAAAATCGTGGTTTAATAGATCAGATACCACTCCTTTCCTTTTCCAGATCATGATCAGATTGAGATGTCCACAAAACTCCTTTCTTCCCCACTCATACTTTTTTGATTCCATTTGGTTTCTTGATTTGTTTCCGTCCTTTTCGTTGGCTTCTATCGCTTCCTCTCTCTCACACTCTCACCACTCTCACCACTCTCACTGAAATTGGTATTCCCAACCTCCAACGACCGAACGAGTACTTGCGCCGCAACAATTTCATCATCTTGCATTGCTGCATGCAGACAAGTTTGACACAATACCAAGCTCCTATCGATTTTTACAGCGCTCACCTCCAAAAGTTTAACCTCGTACTTCGCCTCGTATTCGATTTCATTTGAGTTGTGTCTTGGCTGCTTGGATCTTCTCTTGGCATTATTCGATCTCGGAAGTGAGGCACACGAGCATACTCCTGGCTTATTATATCAAGCACTTTCCCGCTTGTATCCAGAAAGGTATATTCGATTCAGCTATTGAACCTTTTTTTGCTTGAATAATTTGGGGAATTGGGTTAATTGGAAAGCGCGCGATTGTTTTCTGGAAAGCTTGTTTATTTTATTTTATTCATATTCGCGAGTTTTGTGAAGAATTGAAAGGAGAAGGAAAAGACACAGGCGAACACCACAAAAATTCACTTCAAGATACCACAATGCGCCCTCCAACTTTTCTCGGCGCCATCGCCACAACATCTATTCTCCTTAACTCATTCACACACGCTTCACCACGACCAAACGAAGAGCCGTCCGCTGCGGTCGAAGAGAGAGAACCCGCTTTCCCACCTAAAGTCCAGACCCAACACCACGACACAAAGTACTTCCACGAGCCAGGTGGAAATGATATATTAGGACATTACGACATACGGTATTTCCAAGGAAACCCAGTCACTTATGAAGAGAAGCAAGATTCTCTTCAATATCTGATTAAATCCTATCTTACCACTTTCCGCGAGAGAAATATCGAGACATGGATTGCGCATGGGACGTTACTAGGTTGGTGGTGGAATGGCAAAATTATGCCATGGGATTGGGATTTAGATACGCAGGTTTCGGCTGCTACGTTGGCTTGGTTGGGAGAGAATATGAACATGACGATGCATAATTATACGGCGAGAGCGGATGATGGAACGACTGTTACGAGAGAATACTTGTTGGATATCAATCCCAATCATGTGGAGAGAGTGAGGGGTGACGGCATGAATGTCATTGATGCGAGATGGATCGATGTGAGGAATGGATTGTTCATTGATATTACTGGACTTGCAGAAGTCAACCCCAGTACACAGCCAGGAATCTGGAGCTGTAAGAATTATCATCGCTACAGGACGAGAGATATCTATCCATTGAGAGAGACCGAATTTGAGGGCGTGCCAGCTCTTGTACCATACAGTTTTGATAGGGTACTTACGGATGAGTATAGTCCAAGAGCTTTAACGAAAACGTTACATGAGGGGTAAGTTTTTTCTCCTTCATCCCATCCCCAGTATATAAAAAGTCCAAAACTAACATCCCGAAAGCCACAGATGGAATCCCGAACAAAAAGAATGGATTCCCGAACCCCAAATCAATATCCACGAAAGGGGTCTGGAAACCCGAGATGAAAGCCACCCACACATGCCTCGAAGTATCCAATCTGGTGGTAGTCGCAAGGCGGGATTGAAAAATCTTTTGAATGTTTTGTGATTCTGGAGGGACCTTCTGTTCTATAAACGATTTCTCGGAATCGTGAAACCAAGAGGAGGAGAGGTCTGAAAAAGTAAAGGGGGAAAGAAAGAATAAAGATGACAGAGGAAGGAATTACAGGTGGAACTGCAGATGAGAAAATGATACCCACACAACCTTTGAACATACAGCATAGTCAACAACATCACGCGAGCACATATTGGCATTCGCATTTTCAAAATCATGCGAAACGGAGTACTGAGTACTTGCAGGACATGAATGCAAAAGGCATTTTAACAGGCGTATTGGAGTGCGATTCGTCTTTTTCTGTGGATGATTTTTTTGTTGTTGTATATATGGGTACCTATTGGAACCTGGTCGATGAGGGGAGGTGTATATCAGATGAGATGATATGAGACATGATGAGATAAGATGAGCGGAGACACAAACTCATTCCCAGTGCGGGATCTTGTGGATACATCCGGATACAAAATTCATACCCGCCAATTCTTCTTATATGAATGGCTGGGTGGATGGAAACAGTGATGGAAATAATAGGTTGGAAGAGAAGAAAGACATGAGATTAGTGGAGTTCTCTGTCGAGCTGGAATAAATGCATGGGGAGGATAGATGGGGAGGTTGATTGATCGGGAGAGTGTGTCGCTTGGACTTGTATGTGTGAAGAGGAGAGATGGAGTGGATGGTGCATATATACGGATTGTATATAGATATCTAGATATATTGTATACAAATCAGATTACAATGAATCGAATCAGATTTTCTGAAGCAAATTAACGTGTGTGAGGACTTTGGCTTTATACAATGCATGGTGTGGTTAATTAGATGGAAACATCAGTGATTAATATAAATAGGAATGGCTGAGGACGTTGGTTGGAGACAACCTCAATTGTATGTTACAGTATGTATGTGGATGGTATCTATAATCTACTTATTGATCTGACATCCATGTTAGGATATAAATAGTCAACTAATGGTTTAGCAGAAGTATATATATCTAATAGTCGATGAGGAGGCGTGGGGTTTCTGTATGAGAATGGATGGAGATAGATTTGAGGCGGGGAGGGAAGTACAGTTGTGTTGAGTATTGCATTGGGATTCATCGGGTTGGGATTAAGGTGTGTGTAATGATTTGTAGGGTTTGGGGGGTTAAGGAGGGGAGAAGATGAAGGGGCATTGAGATGTGAAGATATATGGGCGGAGAGAAGTTGGATAAGGAAATAGGTGAAAACGAGGGTTGATGTGTGAGGTGTGATGTTTAGTGGGAGAATATATCTAACGTATTGAGAGATGAGATGAGATGAAATGAGGTGGAAAGAGAGGTAGGAAGGAGGGAATGGGAGTTGGGGTAGTGTGGGAATAGGACGGGGAGAGATGGAGTGCCGGGTGGGTGTAGATTGAGGGAGGGGGGAAGGAGAGGAAGGGAAGAAAGGAGAGAAAAGGGAAAGGTTTGAAAAGTGGATGGTAGGAGCTGGTGTTTCTACATGTAGTGCTTGGGCATTAAGAACGGAGAACGGGGCACAATGAATATTTATCGATTAAAGAAGTGAGGAAAGGAAAGAGATGTTGTTGAATATATATGTGGACAGTATCAAGAAATTGCCGTAGTGGTGTTATGTGACTTGTCGAAATGATTTGCAATCTCAAAATACGCTTGTACAAGACGCCTACCGAATCCGATATAAGTATACACAAGCTACCAACACCCCGCTCCGACGACCCATGCTAAATAATCCGAATCCCAAATTGTAAACCGAACCAAATCCATCCTCATGTCAGACTCACATGAGCTTTCTTTCCCATGATAATACCGCTATGTTTCTTTCCCACGACTCCCCAAAGTATTGTGAATATAAACAGTCTAGTTTCCATTATACTTTCAAACATGATGTTACCATCCTCTCCCTTTATATTTCAGCGAACAAGTTGGAGACATCAGAGCCTGATATACACATCCACACAATCCAGCCTCCACTCTCTCTTCCCCAATAAATTTCTCAACCATTCGACTCCAATACCCGTCCATTCCTTGCTGGCCAAATTCTTCTTCGCATCTTCTAACACTGTGCCTGCTAATGCTATTGCGGTCTTATTGAAAGCACCGGCGTACATTAAAACATTGTCTATAGTTTCGTTTGAGAGGGCTGTTTGATTGTTTATTTCTGCGGATGAATAGGATGAGGAACGAGGTAAGAACCAGTTACTACTGAAGTCGAAGAAACAGTGATCGGCCCAGTGACAGGAGGAGGCGAAGAGGATGAGTAGGAGAATTGAACAGTAGACGCAGGGTCGGTTGAGGAAGTAGGTGCAGATGAAGAAGAGGAAGATGAATATTGGAGATGCATTCGTGGGAATGAAGAGGAGTGGAAGCCAACTATTTCAATAGCATTAAGTTAGTTTTGTTGATAAAATAATTATTTAATTATCTTTTGATATTGTATTTCTTGATTTAGGCTCGCCCCATATGGGATTGTATGAGTTCATGGCGTACCTTCTAAGACAAAACATTTTGACGGGACTTTATATGCGCAGTGAGATTTCGAACAACTGGGACCAAGGGTCGTAATTGTATGAAATTATGCGATCATCCGTTGAGGGCGGCATGCAATGGCCCTTGGAGTATGCAAACAGAATGTGATAAAGAATCACAGTATGTACCAAGTACTTAGTGCGATCGACAGGGGAAAGGGTGGGGTCCTCTCCGGTTGGTGTATTGTGCGATGTGAAAAGAAAGATCCTCTGGCAGTACTCGATGGTATGACTGTAATAATATCTTTGAAATTATAACGTTTGAATTTGTTCAGTATTTGAGAATATGTATTCATGACGGTATACAGGTAGATCTCTTCGCGCGATAAAATAAAGATGGATTAACAATTGGTCGGTTTAGATAAGCGAATGATCCTTGGCACATCGGCGTCTACCATCCAATTATATTGCTGAAATCACAGCTTCAGATACAGAAAGAGCCAAATAGTAGTCCAAGCTTTACTATCAATTATTTCCAAGGTTACCTACTTTACGCGCTCTTTACCTCACAAATTCGCCTCACATCTGATCGGATCCTTCTTCACCTTTATCAAACAAAACTCTACATACCTACCTCTCTACCTCTACCCTTACCTTTACCCTCACCCACAACCTCACATCTTCAACTCAAAATCTTTTCCATAACTTACATCAAAAATCCTTCATTTGGTACCTCAACCTCGAAGCTGTCAATACCTTTGTTATTGAGGACAGTTTCCGCCTTGTATCTATTTACAAGATTAGAGCTGTTGTCGATCGCTGAAAAAAAGTTATCGGCTATCTTCTTTTTCATCTTTGTTTCTTCAACAAATCCTTTCGTTACATACTCAAAACTTTCTTCTCGATATTGATCGATTCAATTTAATTTTCATTCAAAATATTACGCCTTGAGCGCGCTTCATTTTTTCAAAATGTCTGGATATCCGACAGGTTCTGGTGGTAATGATGGCCGTGGTTTGGATTCTCTATTTGCTCAGCTTCGACAACAGCAAAATCAATCGCAGCAACCGCAGCAGCAGGCTGCTCCTGTTCATTTAGAGCCAAGTTATAATTATTACAACAACAATAATCACAATAACAGCGGCTTCTTTGGTCAAAATCAACAATTGCCTCCTCACTATCAACAACCTTCTGTTTCCTCGCCACTTCCCACCCCTCCTGTACATGGTCAACAACCTCATCATAGCTCTTCTATCATGAGTCCCGTTGATACCCCACATGCAGAGCCCCGTCTTGCCAACCCAGTTGGTACTTCAACCAACGATAATCGTACTTCAAGCTTACTTAACCTGCTGAAGTTCAGCCAACCTTCTGCTAGCAAGTCAAATAATCAAGCAGCACCGATTGGCACACCACTTCCTCCATCTCGCGAGTCGTCCATGAGCTTCGGTGGAAACTCCGATGTTCTTGGTCAAGTCAGCGCTGGTAATCGTGGTGGTCAAGATCTTCTCGCTGCACTCATGGGAGGAGCACAACAAAAGCCAGTTTCTACCCCGCAAATGACTCAAACAAGTCCACAATTTGCCAATGCTTCCCAACCCCAGTCGAGCTCCAGCTTCGCAGCTGCGACTTCTCCACCTGCCGATACACAGGCTTATCTCCTTCGTCTTCTCAATCAACCAAAGCCACCTCAAACTGGCAATGAATCGCCACATTTGAATACTGAGAAGGTATTTTCGCCTCAAAGTAAAGCAAATAGCTCTTTGGACGACGTTGGTGACTTGGCACAGACTCTGGAAGAAACGAAGATTGATATGGACATGAGTATGATGGGATCTGCTGCTTTCGAGGGCAAGATTGATAGACCTCTCAGCAAGGAAAATATCACTCCTCAGCCAAGAAACAACCAGGGATTGTTCACCTATGTTAATCCTTTCGAGGAATTGGCAGCCTCGTCTCCACGCAATCGCACTCCGAAAGCAACCGCGGGTGGTCCATCAAGTTCAAACATTCCTGCACCTGCTTTCCAGATCTTGAAACGACAAGATTCAACTGACAACAAGCGCAAGATGGACGAGAGAAGCAACAATGATAGTCCTGGTCAGGTTTTCTCTAAGCGTAAGCTTGGATCTCCTGCTGTATCCTCTGGGCCACCTACACCACTCCCTGATGGGCGTACTCAATTGGAGGCTTTGATTGGAATCGGTGCCCCAAGCCCAGCTTCAGCTTCCAATGGCAAAGGCAAGGAAACTGTTAGCCATGCTCTTGAGGAAGTCGGTGATGTAGTTGATAACCAAGTTCAAGAAGCTTTAGCTCGTGCCGAAAAGGAGGCAACTACTGCTGAAATTGAGAAGGACTTGCGGAGCATGCTTGCTGCTGAAACCGAGACACAGTTCGAGGATCGTGCACAGGTCGCTGCTACAGCTATCAAGAAGGTGCTTGACAAGGACGACACTGTTCTTGATGATTTGCCTACTCCGATTGCTAATGAAGTCAAAGAAATCATTGACGATGCTGCGAATGGCCACATTGCAGACAGCTGGGAGAGTGCAGATGCTGCCGAGGATGCTCCACCAAATTATGATGAAACTGTCGTCAAGGTATTCAACTTCCCTATGAAACCATGGACTTCAATCACTATCAAAAATAGTGAAGAAGGCCGTCCTAGTTTCCGTGACGAAATCATTATGGATATCGCTCGTCTCAAGAAAGAGTTTGATCAAATTGATCGCACTCTAGTCACTGCCTCCTCAAACTTTATTGTTTATGGCATGTCAAAGAACGGAGGCATTCGTATCATTAGACAGGCTGATGGCAAGGACTCTCGACTTTTCACCGAGACACACGATCGTATCTTCAATGTTTCGACATCTAGTGCTCCAGCGGATCTCAAGGAAACTATCATCGGTACTGGTATTAGTGGCACTGTTTACTGGGCTATTGTTAAAGACGGCGAAGGAGACTTCATCGAGGAAAACCATCCTGAAATGCATGGCTTTGCTCTTCCTCCTATCCAAACTCCAGATAATGAGTCAGCTGGCGGTGTACTCAAAACTAGAGCTAGAAAGAGCTCAAATCATCCCGAATTTTTCGCCGTCGGACGCGGAAAGTCCATTCAAATCATCTATCCATCTGTTATCATGAAGAACTCCTTCCTGAAAAATGGAAAAGAGCGCATCGTTGATACAGATCGCTATCTCGCCCACCGATCTCTCAAGGTCAACACCGGCAAGGCAGGCAAAGATTTCACGTTTAGTGAAGATGACACAACCATTGTTTCACTTGACAAAGCCGGACGAGTCAAGTTCTGGGATGTTCGCCCTCTTACTCAGATTCCAGAAGATGAGCTTCATCAAAAGGCTCCTCCCGTTGAGATCAAAGAGCCACTTACGACTCTCATCACAACTCCCGCAACTGAAAAATCATGGCCTACTTCGGTCTTGTTTGTTGATAAGCTTCGCCCTTATCAAAAGGGTGGTCCATTGCGCTACATGATTGTTGGTATGAAGCAAAACCACACTTTACAATTGTGGGATCTTGCTCTGGGTAAGCCTGTTCAGGAAATCCACTTGCCTCACAGCAAAGAATCGGATGCCGTTTGTAGCGTCCTGTACCACCCTGCAACTGGTGTTATTGTGGTCGGACATCCTACTCGAAATTCGATCTATTTCCTCCACCTTTCTGCTCCTAAATACAACCTTCCACGCACTGTCACCCAGGCTGAATACGTTGAGAAGCTTGCAGCCAACGACTCTAGTGTTTCTAAGCCAGAATCTACCGCTGTTGTCAGTGGCATGAGAGAATATTCATTCGCCAGCAAAGGTAATCTTAGAAGCTTGGACATCTTACAGAATCCTGCTTCCCCACCTGCTCGTGGAGAACCAATTACTTTGTTTGAGTTGTATGCCATGCACTCGAAGGGTGTAACTTGCCTCACCATCAAGCAAGCCGATCTAGGTTGGGACGTCAATAATAAGTGCATCTCTGCAGTTGTGGCTGATAGAGTTGGAGCTGTTACTATCGATACATTGAAGGAAATCAGCACCGCGCCAATTGCATCCGAGTCAGGCGAAACAGCACCAGAGCCTTTACCTGCACCAGTCCCTACTCCTACTAGGATTATTCAACGTCCAGCTACCAAGGACAGCTCTCCTAAGGAAACGAAGAAGGTTGCGCAGACCGAGCCATCTTCTTCAGTGCCCAAGGCTGAAGAGAAGGCTGAGAAAAAGGAAGCTCCAGTCGCACTTGCCAACGGCAGTATAGCCGGCGCTAGCGGAACTGACAATAAGGCCGAAAAGAAGAAGCGACGAAAGGCCAACTCAAATTCCGAATCTTTATCAAATTCCTCTCAAACCAGAAACATCGCAACAGAGAATAATTTAGCTTCAAGAAACAACAGTACTTCTCGCGCAAGTATGAATACTATTCCAGATGTTGGTAGCTCTTCAAGCTTGTCAGCACCTGGTTTGACGGATGAAGTTCTCAAGGAGATTGAAGGTCGCGTTTCTGGAGAAGTGAAAAAATTACTCAATGATTCCTTCAACACTTTGGATCAAAGAATCAAGGATGACAGACGCACCCAAACTGCCGTCGCTGATGCCAAGCAGGATGCTGTCCTTCGCCTTGTCTCTAGCACTCTTACTGGCAATATGGAAGAATCATTGAAGCGCATTGTCAATGGAGCTTTGGAAAACTCTATTGTTCCTTCCATTGAAAATATCACCTTGAAGACCGTCGATCAACGAGTTGCTCCAGCTATTGTTAGTCACTTGAATCAAACCTTGCCAAGAGAATTGCAAAAGGTTCTTCCAGATGCTGTCAATAAGGTCATGCAACAACCTCAACTTTTAAAGCTGATGTCAGAAACCTTGGCAAAGAGTGTCTCTTTCTCTTTCGAAGAGCAATTTGCTACTCTCTTGAACAACAGCATCACTCCTGCTTTTACCCAATTGGCAGTCAACACTTCTCAGCGTGTCGCAGCTGATGTTCATCGCCAAGCACAAGAACAGATCGGTAACATTGAACGTCAACGACATGCCGATAGCCTTAAGATCGAACAATTGACCCAACTTGTCCACGGCTTGACTGAGACCATTTCATCCATGGCTGCTGCACAATCTGACTTTCAAGCTCAATTCTTGCGTGTTCAACAGAGAGATAGACAGGGTTCATCTCACCGTGCTAGCCCTGGAATAGGTCACAACTCCAGCAGACCTTCTGTTTCCTCAGCACTCGCAGCTCCTCCTGTTGTCGAAGAGAAGTCGCCACAGGAGCTTGAGTATGAGGAGATGTTCAAGCACATTCAAGCCCCCATGCAAGAGGGTAGATTCGAAGATGCTGTTGTCCGTTGGTTGCAAACTGGTAGAGAGCAAGAGTTCTTTGCAAGATACTTCTGCAGATTCTCTCCAAAGTTCATCACTGAGCTTAGCCCACTTTTGCTCCTCAGCCTCGGCGCTATCATCACCATTGAGTTGACTGATGATCTTATGAATCAGCGTCTTGCCTGGACCGAAACCATCTTGAACTCTTTCCAGATCAAGATGGTCAGTGGATATCTTGTAAGTTTCATGTACTCCTTTGGTGTTTATTGTATACTAATATTATTTGTAGGATAATCAAGTCGCCGATCTGGTTCCTAAGATCATGAACATCTATATTCAACGCCTCGAACATCTCTTTATGCGTATTACCAACGTTGCCCCTGCCGATCCCCTCCTCAAGCAACTCTCTCAGATGGTTTCCACTGCCAATCGTATTTTGGAGCTCTATCGTGAGCGGCCATCTTCACGCCATATGACCGGCTTTTCTCAATAAGAGCGTCCGCGGTATTACGAATAATCATATTATACACACTCCGGATATCTTTTTTTGGCGGGTGGCCAGTCTGGTGGACTTTTTTCCGAATTTCCAGTAGCTACGCCAAATCTCTTTATTGAGAAATTTCTAGTTCTTTATTATGCTTATTACTACATCAAATATCGAACACTGTTACGGCCTTTTCGCAAATAGCATTGGCTCTCGAGATACTGGAATGTTCTCAGCCTTGCTATCCATCAGTTCTTTTTCTGCGGATCTTCCGGCTTTATGTTCACATGACATTTTCAAAATTTTCTTTTTCTTGACTTTCTTTCAACTTATTTTTTGTGCCAATACCAGCGAACAAAATCGCGTCTCTGCGTATGTTTTCTACTACCTACATTTTCAGGCGCATGAGCGACATACAAACCACTATCTGGTTATGAAAATTTCATACTTTGGTCGGTGGGGGGAGCTATTGGTTGGCTCGGGTCGCTGAAAAGGGTTCTCTAATGGCTGTTCTGATCTTACGATATGATACCATCTGGGGATTTCATGGGACTTTTCTTTTCTTTTTCCCGAACAATATCTGATATGGATGTGGATGGGGGAGGGAAATGGACGATTATTATGGAATGGATGAATGGATGGGTGGATTTTCATGCGACCCTGGCTCACCTCAGCCTGGATTTCACTTGGTCTTTGATTAAATTTGAAGACATTTGCGAGCTATACCCTTGACGCCCTGGAATGAAATTATTGTGGTGGAGCTTCATTTGTGTATTTTAGACTCGGAGAACTTCTTTAAAGAAGACTTCGAGAAAAGACATGATTATTAGGCTAGTGAATACTATTCATTGCATTTATTACATACTTGTGCATCTTGGTTTAATGCGAATGGGGTGACATTGTGTGCTGTAATGTGTTCAGAATCGAGTATTGCATAGACTTCGGTGGATGATGTGGAGGCAGAGCACATACTAGTGATGAGGTGCAGATGTGAGGAGCGTACGTCATCTGCAAGAGAGGTATAGATAGAGGAGTGTTTCCCAGGCCGCGTTAAGATAGTTGAATTCTGATAGGTCAATCGAATGCCAGCTGGAGACAATATCTCAGCGTAGAATAACACTTCGTGGGTTTGTTGTCAATATAACCCAGTGTATGAAAAGTGTCAATTCTTTATCAGATGTTTCTCGTTGGCTGTTATGACATCTCTGGAATTTCTTAAAAGACCTTTCTTTCTCTCGAGGTGAATACCATTTCTTCCCAGAGGCACTTGCTCTGTAAAGGACTCGTCACTCGTGAAAGATGCTCATAGAGGTAGGTAGATACCTATTATCACATGGTAAACAGGTTTCGCTTATCCACGCTGCAGAATAGTCGTTTTAAGCTGAGGCTCATGTCATGGGAATTGAAGATCAGAGAATGCGAAAGCGGCTTAGATAGACTTTTGGGCTGAATTGGGCATTCGCGAGAACCAGTTACCCAACTCTCCTATGAAATATCGTTAAGTTAAATACAGTGAAATTGATGCGGCGATGAATTTAATAATGCTTAAAATCTCCTTTGGGCCTTAGCTGTTTCTGGTACAACCACAAATAAACTTAACTCAATCGGCCAATCTAGATCACTGAGCTTGTCGATTATTCCTCTTAGCTAGTTAGACCGGGCCACGGATCAATTGACAGTAATCGGTTTAATCGTGCGTGCTAACCGATAGGGCGTAGACTATTTGATTAAGGATATTGCGATGTACATTTTGGGGGAGTGAGAAGGAAATGTGTAGTTAGCAACCCCTTTTTTCAAAGTATTGGCACTCAACCCTGGGATTTCATGAAACATACCACAAACAACTTCCCCCTGTCCAAAGTATTTTAGAACCTACCTACCATCCACCGAGCGAACGAATCCCACACGTGTATCATCCCGTAAAAATCTCTAGTTACATCGCTCGCCAAGTTCCAACCGACTCATCACTCGGAATGATTATCGGAGTCTTTCATCCGATGGTCGCGACCGAACTATCTTGGTTGAAGAAGAGATTCCGGAGGAAATAGGTATCGTACAATTGGACGCCGCATTCTTGGCATCATGTATCAGATATCGAGCTGGTATAAGTGCTGACTGGGTGGGGCATCGAAATGTCTCCCTTTCCAGGAGAGGAAGTTAACAATGTGCCTAGGTGGAGAAAGGTTACGCAAGGAGAGGGAAGATACTTTACGGGAGATTTCGCAAGCAACCTGCCAATTTCCGATGAGACCATATTCATCCTCATTCCAACTCCTTTTCCCCACCCAAATCCATGAAATCTACCTTTCCCCCACCCAAAAAGCTACTCCAGAACTTCGCCCGCTCCCCAGCCGCATCTAGACCACAATCTCACCCCAATCTACCCCACAACCCCACACCCATCGCGATCCGAACCCAGACCGGAAGACTGATCCCCAACATAGCACCAAAATCAATGCTTTTTCTTCCCGCACTGCCCTTGATCTTCCCCTCTATTCTGACGTCCCACGCCTTCTAATACCACCACGCCCCCCTCCTGTTTCCACAAAAACTCCGCTTCTCTCCACTTCTTGATCGAAAGGGGATGGAAGGGAGTAAAGAGGTGTCTTTGTTGCACATCGCATTTTGTGGGCCGTGACACTTGTGTTGATTATGGCTTGCCTCGGGGGTTGGTTGGGGCTGAGGGGCTGAGGGGCTGAGATGTGGTGAAGGGGTTGAGGGGATTGAGGGGATTGAGATTATTATCTCGATGGGGGTTCAGACGCTCTCGGTATATCCAGTGTATATTTGATTTTTTGTTCATATTTTTATTTCTTTTATTCATTTGTAACAAGAAGAGGTTTAATGCTTAAATACGTATCAATTTGGATAAAAGACTCGGTAAAAGTATTCTCGAGTTCTCAAAATAATAGAAGAGAGAAGTATTTTCTACTATTATTATTGAGGGAAAGATAACAGTATCAAAGGTTCTGAGATTATTCCACGTGTATTTTCTTGAATATTAGTTTTCTATTGATACTTTGCCTTTGCCACAAACTAGCATCCAATTTCCTAACTAATCATTCCAATAATTTCCAATCTGTCTTATATCATCAACCAAAGCTGGTGGGTTATCTAATCCTGGAAAGTGTCCACCGAAGTTATGATCTACAGTTTCGTTAGCAAGAAGAGCGGAATAGTGTTACAAGAATTGTATGGGAATAGGCAAGAAAGAGAGACTTACAATCATAAGTCACTAGGTTTCCTATCCATGGAACTACTTTTTCTATCTAGAATGTACCACTATATTTGAAACTGCTAAAGACCATTAGTATATCAGTTTGTGCTTTGCTATAGCTTGAGCTATATGCGTTGGTATTTTGCAGATATATGAAAATAGATAACACAAAAGATTTAGTTAAATAGTAGAGTGAAACTTAGCAGAGGATTTCAATATGTGTAAGGACAAACAGCGATGTTTCTGCTTGTAGATCGGACCCTTTAGGCATCTCAGCTTTAAATGTAATCGAAAAATTGAGGGGTTAGAAATCTTACACGAGATATATTTCTCTGCCATCCAGGACAATTGTTCAATGGGGTTATCGTGAAACGCTAAGCCAATAGTGTTGATCTGTTTCTTGATTTAGTTTATGATTTTCTATATAAAAAATTATAGCAGAATAGTATGCCTATATAGTATTCTTACTTTGATACTCTATTCAATAATATATTCTATATTGAAATCTAGAACCAGATTTTCCTGGAACTCCTCATCTATATTGAGAGTAATATTATATTTAAGAAAGTCAACTAGACTTAATAAAAGGAACAATATACCAGTAAGATAAATTGCATACACTAACTTATTGAAATTTTTATATAAATTATATACCACATTACTATCAAAATCTGATCTGTGGATTGTATAGATTCTGTATTCCAAAACGTTAGTTATCAAAGTATTGAAGATATATGCTGTATCGTTTAGTATCTAGATAATAGGTGATGTATTGGAGAATACATAATCTAATAGTGAAGAGACTATGATACAGAAGGAAGCAGAGGTTTCATTGGGTATGCTAGATGCTGTCATCAATGAGTCAATCACTAGAAGAAAATCCATGAAGCTTCTAGGCTATCCATGGTTTAGGATGAGTGGTATTGCATTTAACTCGCTTGACTTCTAGTAAACAAAATGGATTGTTAATCCTTCAATAATAGTTATATAATAATTGTACCTATTAAAACATTAAATATATAAATATATGCTTAATATGATTAGCTAGGATATACTAATCAATTCAAATCAGCCTACTCAATAGCCTAATTGAAAGTAGTAATTCATTCTGTTTGCATCGATTTTAATATGCTTAAATCAATGCTGAGGGAGTTATTGAGTTTAGGATATTCCTTAATAGCTAATAATTGGGTTTGGGTTATCAATTGAAGTATTCAATATAGTTCTAAGTCAATTGTGAAATCCTTAACTTGGGCGAGCGTCATATAACCGGTTAAGAACTCTAAGGGGATATTCCTTAACTGGAACAACTGCATCTTTTTGATCTATTGCGGAAACGTTGTGGTAATATCAGGTGCTGGATTTTACTCTTCTCGAAGTGCAGGAAAGCTGGCTTTATACAATTGTCCCCAAATAAACTTTGCTTATTTTACGCATGGTTGATTGTTTGAATGTGAGCATTATTGGCTCGCTTCGAATTCTCCAACCGTTGTCTCCAACAGTTGGATAAGATAAATACGCATAAGACGCGAGCCCTTGCTGTCTAATATGAGAAATTGAAATTGAAGAGTAGTGATAGTAGGATAGTGTACATTGAATACATAATTAGATTAGATTAAGCTAGGAGTATGGATAATCATATCTCTCTGTGGTTCAGATTTTTGTCAAGCGCAATCAGATATCGCAAAATATTCAGGAGAGAAAAAAACGGGGATGAGTAATTAGTATGGAAATTATACTTCACTAAAATAAAGTATTGTATAGGTTATATAGATTGTACTGCGCCGAGTAGAAAACATAGCTTATCGTTTTATATGAGACTTGATATAACCAGAGTGATATAACCAGAGTAGGCTCCACTGTTCTTGAGCTCTGAATCTGGTGTTCGATTGTATCGCTACTATTTCTCTACTTTATCCCTTACAGCAAGCTACTTCTCGTAGTCATTGAAAGTCACCATCCCTTTATGGCCGCCGTTTCACTGCCTATATTCAACTACAGAGACCACCATGGAAATCCATAGAAGGCTTCTATAACAGTAAGCAAACCTTGCATTCGTATCAGACAAAAACATAAGGTATTTCTTCAGAGAACTCAATCTAAAGCTAGCTCATAACATCACTAAAACATAAATTCCATAACATAAGAAAAAGATCAATAAACATCATCTTGTTATCGACTAGCCATTATGATTCTTTCGCGACAAGAACACTTATGGGCAACCCGAACACCGATTGGTTTGGATGGACTTGCCGCCATGTTCAAGTGATTTGAGGTAGATTTAAATGAGATTGCTGATGTTTAGTTTGCTGGACATATATCATGAATAAGAGAATACAATTTTGTGTTTGTAGTCGGAGAGTTGGGGAATTTGAGTAAACGCTGGTGAAGGCAAATCTAAAAGCCAGTTGAAGTCGAAATAGAGCATGTAAGAGTACCGGTCAGAATATGCTCGAAGTGGAATGAAGTGAAATCCAAACATAATACAAAATTAGAAGTGAATATTGTATGAGATCAAGACAGTGAGGGATGTAGAAAGGAACGCTGGATTGACACAGAAGTGTGCGGGGGGTCAAGCGCTAGCCGATATTCCCGATTGCTACGTCTCTTGGCTTGCATTCTGTATTACCCGGCACCACTCTGTGTCACACGCTTTTATCTTGGGTACTCTACTTCTGATTAGAGTTCCATGATTTGAGAAAATCTGTACCTACGAGATTGTCACGATCATATTCATACGTTCAATATGACATGGTTGTTTGAAAATAGTGAGTAGATTTGAACAACTACGGAAATAGGTATATTTAGCAAAACGTTGGGTTGTGAGGATCTTCCTATACCCGAGCTTTTGATATTTAAGTTTCTTCATTTGTACAAGTACATGCATAGAGTCTCTTTACATGTCCCATCAGTACAGTAGTCTGGCAAGGTAGGACCCAAGTGTCCAGCTGTAGTAACCATCCGACAACGCTCAATCGGAATAATAATAGTGGTAGTCGCAATCATTGATAATATCCCTACAGCTGGTAGGCCAGTTATAATCGTCCTCGTATTCCTCCTCATCATTCCAACCGTATTCTTTATCCAAGAAGTCTGGAGGAGGCGGGACGTAATTCCACTCATCCAAAGTTTTATTCTGGTCTCCACTCCACAGGGCTAAGGTTCTATCCGGCCCGCGAGGTTGGTAGTTCCGGCGTCTGAGACGCCTCAACAGGCTTCTTGGTTTCTTCATTAACCAGATCTCGCCACCTGTTGGTTCTCGAATGGAATTTTCTCCACAACTTAGGCAGATGCTGGACATCCCCAACCCAATAGGAGATGATTTCGTTGCAGATTGGTCGTTGTTCAAAAACATCGTAGGAACCACCAAGTTCAGGCTTAAACAATCGCTCTCCTTTCTCTTTTGCCAGCTTCCAACTCTTTAGATCGCGGTTATCCAACCCGCTCTGCTCAATACATTTGGCTAGACGGTTCAGGAACTTCCTAGAACTTGTAGTCGTCCTCGTAGTACTCTCCATAAGTTGAACATCCTCTAACCCTTGTAGTACCACGCCAAAATGTGCATATAAGGCATCCGAATCGTTGCGATTGTCAAAAAAGATCATTGGAATTTTTTGGTCTTGGAGGATATCCTTTAGTGGCTTTCCTTTGATGCCAGTGGTATTGAACGCTAGCGGGCATAGAAAACGTTTCAGCTTCTTTTCGCTTTCCTCAACTGACACAACGGAAACCATGAATATGCGATGCAGCGTTTGGTTCTTAGAGGCACAGTCATTTTACCTCATTATATTATGTTGCTTGAGTTAGGACATCATATACTGGTCCTATCATGGAAGTTTGAAATCGTGTAAAATTGTCCAAACTGTGTGAGTCTGGATTTACAATCCAAGAACCTTGGAGATACATCCAGCAGATATAAGATCCAACGATTTTGGTCCGTAGTATCTATCATCTATAGCCAATCTTCGATCTAAAACACGCACAGATTACTGCTCATGGCAATGTGAACATACAGATTCTCCCTCTTTCCAACCTTCTATATTAATCTTCTTTAAATTGCACCTATCACTGCTTGCGTAGACATCCATACCCCTTATCCTCCATCACCTCTTCAGTGGTGATATCACCGTCATCACCAACAATCAATCCCAAATGCGAGGAAGATACCTCTCGGACTCTTATTATCTTTTTGTATGTATCAGCCTTTTCAATTCCAGCACATGTATTATCGAGATTCGAAGATGGCGGAGAGTTGATTGCAAGTACGAGAATCTCAGTGAGTGACTTGAGGATATTGTTCGTGTATCCGTGCCGACAAACGAGCACCGCGTGTATTAGTGCTAATAAATGCTAATAATATGTGTAGAACAAGAATGGATACTGCCAAATGTCTCGTGGAGCCTTGAAGAGAGTAACTATAGCCATAACGGAAGCGCTTGATGTGGATGTCTGTGACGTCTTTGGGAACATTGGATAAAGTAGTAAAGTTTTGGTTCGGTTCCACTGTAGGAATCAAGACTTTGAAACCTGCATTCATCTTGTATGGAATTCTTGACATTGCATCTGACATAAAGGTTGTCGCTATCATGCCCAATGGATTAGCGTTATTAGTGCCAAATGACGAGGATGCCAGAGGCAATATTATATCGTTCGGTGGCAAGGCGGCATTTGCCCACTCGGCATCTATTTGCACTGTATGTATGGTTTTCGCTGTATTGGTAGAATCTTGCATCAAATCATCAAGACTCTGTGTTGGATTGGTGGTGCTAGGTGAATGAATATACCGATCTCTTGTGGGGTCAATGTAGAGTTTAGACGCCTGCCACCCAGCGAACAAGGAACACGAGGAAATACGAATAAGGTACCAACTATGTCTGTTAGTAATGGAAGTAAGGTTGTTCTGCACACCTAATCCCCCTTCATAATAATCAAACATCACGACCCCTATGGAAGGTGAGTTGGCGGTCTTATCTTTTGACTGCATCCATGTCGCTGAGGATCCTCCCGAGCGCGATCCCACATCTCGAGTGCATGCCGAACTTCTGATTGCCAATATCTACCCTGAGACGTATCTCTGTTTAAGAATGGCAGTGGTAGATCATCGAGCGTCTTGTATCCTTTGATTAATCCATTTGTTATGTTATAGTCCCTGCCTATGCAAGCTGCAACTACCTGTGGTGCAGGAGGATCTTCGCCGTTGATCAATACTTGGAATCTGGATGTTTCGTTTTGTGATCCTACCATCTGGGCAAATGATGTGACAAGTGAGCCTGTCGGTACAGATACAGTTTGACTCAAACACCAAGTATATGTATTATAAAAGCCATCTATCTTTAGAGTTTTTTGAACGCTTGATGCGCCGCCAATGAATCGATCGTAAAAAGCTCGTTTTGAATTCATTGGCATGGTAATGTTCCACGAGTACTGTGATTCTCGTGAACTGGGTCTGTCAACCCATGCCCGAATGGCCGAGAAGCCACCTGCTGCACAATTGTCTAAGAATTTATTAGACTCAAAAGCACAAAACGTGTCAAAGCTCGAATTGTCGACTTGATTAGGCCAAACTTGAGACTTTTCTGCATTTAGAGTGAAATGGGTGGTAGACCAGGACGAATATTCTGTCGTTGGGACAATCCACCAGTCCAGGGATGGCAACATCAGTATTGCAGACGCAGGTCCAGAGACAGCAGCTAGGATCATAGCAAAGAGTGTCATGACAAAAAACAAAAAGCGACGCTTGAAATGATGTCCAAATGTACCTGCAGCCCACAAGTCCGGGCTGAGAAGCGACCCAAGATCGGTGATTTTGAAAGCGATGAGAAACCCACCAAGGGGTATTCCTTGACGTAAAGCTTCATGCTGTAAAAAAGACAATATGATTGTTGACAAAGAAATCCCGATAAGTATCTCATGGACTTTGGCCACGAATTGCAGACCATTAAGCCGAGTATTAACTTCTGCATCAGCATTACCCATCGAGTTCGCGTATATTTCATGCCCATTCAAGAATAACAAAGTAATAGTGATCATGATAGGTAGTACATGTGTACCAGTTTTTTGAAGGGCTTTCCGTCTATCTTTCCGAACTGCTACTTTCGGCTTCTCAGTCTTTTTTTTGACATTTTGGATTGAAATGGGAAGAGGCGGGAAAGACATTGAGCTGGAGCGAGGAAAGACGAAGCAATGTTCAAATCAAGGCCTGTGTAACAGATAATTTGGTGAACGAACATTTTGCTGGGCAATGTCGAACAGAAACCACTTTATATAACTGTATTTACTGTGCCTTACACTTGAGTGATGAACCGTTATTCTCAAGGCGAAAAACCTAATCTTTTTTCTTGGAATCTTCCAGCGGTGTCATCCGGGCATGTAGCTGAAAGCCCGATAGTTGATCGATGGGGGCGAAACCCAAGGAGACAGAGCTGCCAATGGCCTTTTCAATACCTGGTTGAAAAATTCTTGCGGATTCTGAAAATCTCAGATAAGCAGCGTAAAGCAATGGCTCACCGGTATCGAATAGAGGCATACATTTCTTAAGGCTAAGGCAGCACATGGCGACACACTTGTCAGCTCTGATTCATAGTCGGAGCCCCTGGATTATGCATTTCTTCAAGGTCTTTATGCTTGTCGGCACATTTCAAAGCCTCACAAGCTGGAAAGAAGTACGTGGAAGGTAAAGATGGAGACTTGAAACGGGGGAATGCGCAGGGAGCACCCACTCGTACCAAACAGCTGGAAGATGAAAGCTTTGAGTATTCGATATCACGATTGGGAGAATCGAGAGCATCAACATCATGTTGTGTCGCAATGATCCTGATCCCTCCGTGGATCTAAAAGTAGTGTTAACGGTGAGAAATGAGTGTTCCGATGAATATGAGGAGAAAGATGTTGTGCTTATGGACGTCAAGGTTATCCGTTAATTATACAACGTAGGCAAGGCTTCATCCTTTATTCCAAAGCAAATGTTATTTACCCAGAGCGACCATTAAATTGAAACCGACGACGAGAACACTTTCACCACTTGATGTCGTCGTCTTTGTCGTTGTCTTTCACTCTCACTGAAGATATGAGAATCCTCAAATACACCATCTTATCTCACATGTCACACTCCACCAATCACTATCAGCAAACATCCCCACCTCCAAAGCCATGGGAGCTAAATCCCTACCACCAATCCCCATCCTCTTAAAATGAGCTTCTTCACCGCCCCGTCCAACCACCTTAAACCACGAATTCATCAACTTCTTTCTCACACCCTCACCTCCTCTTTTTCCTCACCTCTCACAAGCTTCATATATTGATAGTCTGGGTCCATCTTTCCATTAAGGCCCATCCTATACTTCTTCGAGACATACATACATATACCTACATACGCATAACATATCTGCATATATCTTGAAAATCCGGGCGTCAACTGATTGATTTGATTAATCGAGGATAAGAATACCTAGTACAGACACAGACAGACTCCGCAGAAATGGAGCGATACCCCACACCTCCCTCCACGAGTTCTCCCAAACACGGATATCACGATGATCATAACTTAGGAGGGGCACGAAACGAAGCTCCAGCTTCATATGCTTTCCACAACGATCACAACGATCATAAATCTACCATCTATTCTTCCTTCACAAACGCATCGACCATCGTTCCTGCCTCCACAGAAGCATGGGCATCCGGTTATCCAGCGACTAGTTCCAATAAACCTATCGACAAACACTCCCAAGATTTCTTCGGCATCACATCCCAAGACCCATCTTACAACCACCCCAATCCAATTCAATTTGCCGGTCCTCCCCTCCCTACCACCACCGAATCTTTCAAATCGCAAGGCCCAAATGCAAAAAGTTACAGCTATGACGATCGTCCAATAGCCCATCGACCCGCCCAAGAAACCTACTGGCAAACAACATCCGATCCCGTTTCTCCCTCCCAAATCCCCCAAACCCACCCTTACCCCGAAACCTACAATCCCTCGCACCCCTCCCATCCCGGACCTCCTCCCCGCCGCTCCAGCTCTCCCATTCCCAACACTCTCCCCTCCACAACCGGCACAAACCCCTACTACAACCCTCCCTCCCAAACCTCTCAATCCTATCCCCAACCCAGCCTCAACCCATCCGCCGCCGCTCCTCTCCCATCCCAGGTCGCATCTCTTCTCCCCTCAAGAGACCTCTCTCCCCCTACTCCCTCTCCCGCCCTAAACCTCGTCCGGGCTTCGTAAGACGCGTCGTCTCGCGCTTCACATCCTGGATCCGCTCTCTCTTCTCCTGGATCCGAGCAAATCCTATCAAAACCGGTTTATTATCCTTCATCCCCATTTTACTCGGGACTGGTGTTGTAAAGACCGTGAAAGGAGTGAAACACTTCCTTGGAAATCGGGCTTCTAAAAGAAAGGAAAAGAAGCACGAACACAAACTTGAGAAAGAGGCAAAGAAATTGGAAAAGAAATGGCACGAGGATATATTCGGGGACTTTAAGGGATTTGCAGGGACTAAGGGGGGACCGCTGGATGGGATTCTGAAAATCGTTCATATGTTGGTGTAAGTCATTTTTTCTATGCTCTTTCGCCTCGCGTACTCTATTCCCCTTCCTACTTGTTCCTCCTTGTCCTCTCCTTCAAACACCATGGTAATTCTCTTGAACCCATCGATCCCGAAGAGTCAAAATCAAATGTCCCTTTTCCCCTCATGTCTGTCCAACTATTGCGCCAGTCTATCACCTCCCATTCCTCATCATCTATTTCTCTGCAAACATACTTTTCCTTATCACCCCTCTCAATCTCAAATCTAACTCTACACAGAAACCACTACTGCAGACTCACACCCTCCAACTTTCCCCGCGCAGCCTCTATTCTCCTCGAACTCTACTTCCTTGATATGAAGAACCTCTAGCCTATTTTCACCATTTCGGAACCGCCCATTTTTCTATCCTGCCATCCTTTTCTTAATCTCATCTTATTTCCCATTCCAACGACCAAAATGTAAACCCTTTCCAAAACCCATGATATCTCATCATATTTCCATTCCTTTCCTTTCCTTGACCTTTTAACGACCGAACGCATGATACATGACGCATAACGCAGAAACGACGCATGAAGCATGAACGAAGCATGAAGGAACTAGAACGGTAGCCTAGGTATATAACATCATAACCTCGAAAACTTCAAACAAGAACTTGCCGCTCGCGGCTTAATGATAAAACAAAATGACCACCAAAATATCTAGTGCATATTCTTTTTCCCGTGTCCTTGTCCGTGATGTCGTAACATGTTCGAAAGGTAAACTCCTATCCAAGCATTTGATTCCCGTTCTGGTGGAAGACCCCAAACTCCGGGGTTCCTGCTTGATGCCTGCCTGGAGTCGCGTGTAATATATGTATATGTATTTGATGACAAAACGGAAGTAAGAAGATATACATAAAAAAATTCTTCGTCGGAAATAGCACAATGAGCAAACCCAGCTCAAGGAATAGGAAAATCCGAGTCTCTATTCCGTGTTCCATTTGAAGAACTTCCATTTTTGCGATTCTTTTTCAGAGGACTCGTAGATGAGCTCGTTGTGCTTTTTTTGGATACATTTTTCTCCGAAGGATTCCCATCTGTAGATTTCGCACGGTGTGTATCTGGTTTTGAGAGATTCGTCGTATGTGATGGATTCTTCATCCGAGTTTTTGAATTCGAATTCAGCGTCTCGCTCTCAGTCTTCGGATACCGAGCGACCAATGTCTCGATCTGTTTCAGCATATCGTGGATCCGATATGGTTTTGTCGTTACATCATCCATACCCGCTTCGATCGTGCTCAGTATTTGATCTATTCCGGAGTCATATCGTTGGTTAGCGTCAAGTTCTAGTCCTGTCCGCTTGAAATCCCATTTGTATTTAATCCAACCCATCTGCATTTGTAGCGGTGTTGGATACACATAGTGGGTATAACAAATGAAGTATATAGATAGAAGAGTAAAAGTTTACCTTTCCTCGCATTGGCCGTTACAGCAATGATCGGGACATGTCCCTTTATCATCCCCTGAGCTTCCCACTTCCGGATCTGTCTTACACAGGTGATGCCATCCATAATGGGCATTTCTAAATCCATTAGTATGAGGTTGAGTGGTTGTTTCTGAATAATATGTGTTAGTGATATCCACTCAATTCCCTACTGCCAAATTATTGCCCACTGGCACTCTGTATACTTATCCGCTAGTGACCGGAAGTCAAAGGAAGATAGGGAGTTAAGAAAAAAGAAAGTACATACTGAGTTCTCTTCCTCGCCATCCCCTCCAACCCAAAATGTCGTCTCCTTGAGAAATTCTAATGCTTCCCCACCATGATTTGCAACATTTACCCTATATCCTTCTTTCCTCAAACTTTTCACCAGCACTTTTTGATTCAATAAATTATCTTCCACAACCAATACCTCTAGCGGGACGTCCTCTGTTTCTCCACCATCATCTTGATTCCCTTTCGTCCTTCTTTTAATACTCAAAGGAGATAGCCGAGAGCTTATCCTCCTCATTGGCGAAGGTCTTATGGGAATCTTCAAATCAATTTTCTTCACTGCCATTCCACCCGTACCATTATGTACCGTATCCTCATGGCTCAAACTCGATATTTCAAATCCGCACGCCTCTCTGAGCGCATCATCCCTCAACGCCATTTGTAAATCCTTTTTCATACTATCTTCCGAGGCTTGCAAATCAAGGGGCGGAGTCGTCCTCCTGGTCTTCAAATAAAATTGAAATGTGCTTCCTTTCCCCCGTTCGCTATGAACTCCGATCTCACCACCTTGCATTTCAGTAAGTTGTCTCGAGATAAAAAGTCCTAATCCGCTTCCCCCATATTGCACATGGGTTTTTGGAGACGCTTGCATGAAGAGATTAAAAAGATTTGCTTTTTCGCTTTCCGAGAGACCTCGACCAGTATCGGTGACGGTGATAGATATATAAAGGACTTCCCCATCTCCCCATTCGCCTTTTACAGTTTGATCAGAGCTACTTTGATGTTTAGGTACATATTCGACAATCGTTTTTTGGGAGGATGGCCTTTCAAAAGAGGCGGCCATGGTAACGGTAATCCGACGGATTTCTTCCGTCCGGGTAAATTTGATGGCGTTGGTCATGAGATTTAAAAGAACTTGAAGAACTCTGCTTGGATCTAATAAGGTCCAATCTACGTTCAATTCTCTGATAGAATCATGTTGGACGAAATTCAATTTGGTGTCAGCTTGTTTGAGTTCTGATTCAAACATCTTGAGAGCGTTATGGATGATATGTACCGGCTGAGAAGGTTCGGGGGAAACAACAAGAAGGTTACTGTCTAATCTTGAAAGAGTCAATATATCATCAATTATGCGTTTTTGATGCATGGCACAGTAAATGATTGTATCTGTAGCTTCGATAGCACTACTTATTAGATGCATTGGTGGTTCCATGGATGTTGACTCATGGACTTTCCCAAGACCACTACATTTGTTAACTGAATCTTCAAATTCATGCAGTGAAGAGAGGATTTCATCGGCACAACCAATTAATGCCGACAACGGGTTGCGCATTTCGTGAGAGGTCATATCAATAAATCTCTCTTGCTGCCTCCTCATTTCCAGGGCTTGTTCCATTTTCGCTCGAAGTTGATTTTCCGACCACTTCAACTCTGTAATGTCCGTAATACAACTCATGATCGTAGAAACATTACCTTCATCGTCCAGATCCGGATATAAAGTAAGTAAGAGATGAGTCTCCGTCCACTGCTCTTCACCATCAGTAGTCAGCTCTGGGACTCTCCACGGCTGATCAATTCGTGTCTGAAATGTGAGGGGTTTTTTCTCTTCAACACATTCCGACCAAGCTCTCGTCACTGGTTCAAATTCTCCGGCCACTAACACTTTCTCCCAGTTGACCTGCGAGCTTCCAACCTCTAATTTCGTCTGAGATTTCCAGAGATCGTTTGCTGTCAGGGCAGTTCCATCAGTCTTTAGGATTGCGAGCCCAACAGGAATACGCGTTGCAAACAGTGCAAAATTTTTCTCAGTTTCGGTAAGTTGATGTGATAGAATTTCCCTGTCTAATGCCTCCTGTTTTGCAAGTGCCAATCGCTTTTCAACTTCCTGACGGAGTATGATGGCAGAGAGTTGAGGAGTCGTTACCTGCTTTGACAAAATTTGTATCCACTCTTGGTAATCTTCATCATAGGATAATCGAGGATTCAATGCAATAACAAGAAAAGCAAGAACACTTCGTGCCTTGGAATCTGTCATTGGACAAATAACTACATGAGTTGGTTCGCCAAATCCTCGGAACTGTATCCCATCAAATCTTCGCTTCATCTCGGGGTCCACAGGCATTAATACGCTCTCCATTGCGTTCATAGCTTGGTTGAATGGCTCAGTCAACCAGTTTTGGTCACATGCTAGATCAAATCCCGAGAGTGCAATGGAGTGCCCTTCGGGTATGCCAACAGAGCCTTCGAAAACGCAAGGTACGGATGGTGAAGATATAGTTGATGGGAGTGGACTTGATGCTTCGAAAGGTTCAGAAACTGAGTATAACAATCCAAAAGGCGCGTCCTTATCAGCTAGCTCAAGTCCTTGGATCAAATGATTCCAAAGATCACGAATGCTTTGGGCTTTAGATAATTGTTCGCCCAGAGCACGAAGAATGGCCATTCGTCTGTGCCCAATCACTTGACGTGTAGTTTCATCAATCGTTGTCCGTACAGCAATAACATGTCCTTCATTCTCACAGATGATCGGTATGAATTTATAAGTCATGTAAGTCTCCTCTTCAAACCCATGTCGATGAAGGAGAAGAAGAATATCTTTCTGAATAAGTGCTTTACCTGTCTCCTTTTGTGCTTCGATAAGTACGTCGAAATAATCCCATACCTCTGCAAATCCAATACATACATTTTGCCCTTGTGATGCAGGGTGTTTATTACCAATAAGTTGAGTAAATGGTTCATTGTAAATAATGGTGCTATCATCCCCCCACAAAATTGTGGCCTATCTATTAGATCAGCTATGACGTCTCTCACATATAAAATTGATCAACAACAGAAAATAGCTGTCAAAATCAGAATTTGTAAATGAAAGACTCACTGGGTTTGGATCTGCAAAACACAAAAGTACCATAGAACGAAGCTGCTTCGGCCATCCACTCATCGGACCTAGGGGACTTTTTTCCCAATCGACATCCACGGTAAATTGTTGAAATGGAGTCAATTCCATTGTCCGTGGTTCTGATATCCAATCGAAATTCTTCCGTTTTGACTTCTTTGCACCCCCTTCACGTGCTGCTCCCAGCGTGGTATGTCGATCCATGTTACAAGTTGAAGAAACTTCTTCAAAGAAGAATGCCTCGAGTCCTAGCTGGTGATTTGATTCCGCATAAAGAGTTTGCCCTGGTATCAAAACGTATGAAATCTGGGAAGGCAAAATTAACACTCTGAAGCCCAAGCCACAGTAGAGTATGTATTCGGTCAAACTGGAGCATCAGTGACGAGCGTGAAATTAATTGTTCAACAATCAAACCGGTGGGAAAGTTCAGATTACTGTGATGATAACAAAATTGACATGACTATTGAAAAGCGATAATAGATCATCAAAAATTTCAGCTTGTCTAAGAATGTCGACAACAAAAAGGAGGTTAGGTACTGGACTTGTGCGTGGCTATGGTGGTCGTGAGAATTTGGAAACCTGGAAAAGCACTAATGAGTGTTCTAGAATGGCCTTAAGCTCGATTCAGTCGGAGTGTTCAGTCCGATTCAAAACAATTCACGTGAATGGGGGGGCGTCTAGATCATATTCCAAATTCATCTAAGTATTCACAGAGTATATCTACACATTCTTCACTTTGATTTATACATTTGATCTTGATGAAGTTGTTGATGCTAAGTTCCTTGTTGACAGGCCACAAAAGTTCTTTGCACAGGTAGATACACACAACATTGTTCGCGCAAATGATGGCAAGAAGTCCCAAGCGTAACCAAAATTGGAAAAGTAATTGATGGGAAAATGGTTGATACAAGTAACATAACATTGGCCACCAATCCACCCGAAACTCTTATTCATTCTCATCAGTAGAAAGGACAATTTTCCCATCATTGTTGAATGGGTGATCATTCGAATAGCTCTCCTCATGAGGATGATCAGCTATACCAAATTTCAGATTATCCCCCTGCAAACACGAATCGCCAGATTGATACAACACAGGATGAAAAAGATGTGAATTGCCGGCGGCATTACGTCTTCTCTCAGTAATGATAGATATTGCATCACCTAAAGTTGCCGGAGTATTGTGACGTCTAAAATCAAACCCTCGGGAAAAAATATATTCTGTCCTTTCCGACTTGGTAAAAGTTTGGTCGTAAAGATAGATGAAATCCGAAGGGTCATATCTCAGAAGATTTCTCAGAAGACACCGGTACCATTCACCATGTCCCCACGCAATCTTCTCAATTGCTTGAGGTGTAAAATTGTACTGAGATTGTATGGTCGAATCCGATGGAAAAAGATCTAGTTCAATGAGCTTGACCACATGCTGTAGAAACTCAGTGAGCTGCAATATTTCAATTGTATCAAAGGATTCTATCAGACGTAAGCGAGGGTCAGATATGATCTCAACCGGAGGAAGAAACCAAGAGCCCATGCCACGGGTGCCCGAGAGACGACCGGGGTTGAATTGAACGTAGATTTCGTCGTGAAAAAGAGTAGCGTAAGTCCAATAGTTGTAGATAGCCCGACGTAAACGCTGTTGCTCATGAAGCCAAAGAAATCTCCTGTCCTGGTAATCAAGACGCCATCTAAATTGTGGAAAGATCTCGACAAGTCTAGAAGCAGCTTTGCCAAATTTCATCATTTTGCTCAATAATTGGATTGAGAGATGGGGCTCGTCTGGAACTTGTATAATACGATCGACGGCAACATTTCGGCGTGCTCCTGTGCCGACAATACTTCTACCTTTGGTTGAATCATCGCTCATGACCAATTTCACCAGGCTAGGAATTGGACCATATTCATTGTCCAATGCTCGCCTTATGATGGGCATACGTCGTCCACGTAGCGCATTGTAATTCTGTTTGGAGGTCTGGGACAAATGGAGAATATCAATGAGGTCGGAATACTCATATATTCTCTGTAGTAACTCGGTTGAAAGATTCGCGATGGACATGTTGAAGATATGTATTTGGTACGTTTGGGATGTTTTGTTTTGTTTTGTTTTATATGATGAAAGTTCTCTGAAAACATGGACAAATTGTCAGTATGTATGCTAACAGATTTGTTGGTTCTGACTTTACTCGCCTCTCTATTATGTCGCGCAAGCCTTTCGCTGTAGGAGGGGTTGCGGGTTAACTGTTGTTAACTTTCAATTGCTTCAGCTCTGTACTTCCCGCTCTATCACCAGAAAATCGATTGAATAAATTGGGTTTATAGGTATGTGATAAATGCTGCGCTATTGAAGAGCGCGAACCGTAGTGATGGATAGATAACCACCAAACGGCAACCGATTTATAAGAACCTAGATTTGGAACACCCCGACATTGGGGTTATATGAATTGCAGGTGGCATCTTTCAAGCTTCTGCGGTTTGAAAATGACAGTCTGACCCGACCGAAAAGTGATTGATGAATCATGACGAATGCAGTTGCAGAGAAGGAAGTGCAATAGAGTCGGGAAGTGATGATGTCTGCTACCTCGCTTATGTAATAATTAGGATAGGGATCTCTATCGGGGACCTCGAATACGAGATATCCCAAAGTGGCATCATCACATTTCATAGAACCATTTTTGGTATTGTGTTATTGTTATTCCACCCAAGAGCTACATCAATCAGACACTTAAATTCTCTATCTGTGCTTGAGTGGGTTATGATAGCTTCAATAAATGTGATATAAATGGATCAGCATTGCACACATATAAAACCAGCTCTTGGAATAGAAATGTAGAGATAGCTCTTTCTGTGAAGCCAACAAAGGAAATGCAGACTTCCATGAGAATGGCCACTCTATCGGAAAGCTTTCAGTATCTCAAAGATATCAAAGTGAGCAATCAAAATGAAGACTGGTTTAGATTATCTTGTATCTTGACTATAATAAGCTAATAAGACGCCCCCGAAATATACAATGTCCAAAACATGGCATGACTTGAAAGTTCTAATAATCTCCTCTCGCAATACACGTGCAGCATGTCCTTAGTAGTAGGCTTGTTGACTATTCTAAACATTCTCCCCAACCTTTCACCGAGACTAGCTCACGATCGCTCATGAGTTCCATCAACGGAAATTTGCAAACTACAATCCTACCTGAGCGAATAATGAAATCCCTTGCCCCAGGTCATTTACACATATTGAGTCTCCATCATTGTTGACATATTACCACCATCAATATCAGTCACCGGAATCTCATCCCCCATCACCATAACCTGGTCATCTACCGCTTTCTCATCAAACTTTGCGAGCATCCACTTCTTTGCCCTCGGCTGATGTATCTGCAACATACTTGCCAAGTCCGTCTCTTCACTTCGCACCACCTTTCCAAATCGCTGTTTCTTAACCTTCCTAATGCTTTCTTCGTCATTCCAACACGCATGTTTGTCAGCAACATAAATCTCACTATTTGCCTTGTACCAACTGCTTAAAGCTGAATCCGTTTCGCTCTTGACGGGTCGAAGACTACCAGTTATAAAGGCAAGTACCCCAGCGAGACGATTACGGCAATCTCTAGAGGTGAGTAACTGTTTGATACCAAGGTAAGAGTCGCCAACGCCCATAAGCATGATATTGTCTGAGTCATAAAGTTGGATAAAATTGTCCCAAATATAGCAAACAAGATCTTTCATTTGACTTTCGAGCTCAGTCATACCAGGGTGGGATGGGTAACGACTAGTGGTAGGGGGGGCAATGTCTGTGTTCAACGGGATGTTGATATCCATTACACCAATTTTATTTTCAACAGCCCAGGCGATAAAATCATTAACTGGAGGTTCGACCTAAATTGATTAGTTAGGCAGATGCTACATAGCATGAAAGGAGAGACTTACAACAAAGGCGTTATGTAAGGCGATTTGAGCTGTGTCTGAATCAGGGGAAGCATACAATGTCGGACTAGAATAATCAGCAGACATCACTAAAAAGAATGAAGAGGGGGCTTACGGATCATGAACGATTATCAATAATCTTTTCGCAAGATTAATATATGGGGTAACCATAACTTGATTATCAAAGGATCTTGCAAGTTGATGCCGTTGGATCCACAAGGAAGTCATCCGGTAGTTAGTCTTCAGCGTATTACTTTGACCATTTCTGATTTGATCATCAAGACGAAGGGCTCTTCTAAATTTTGGTTCCTTGTAGTCAACGACTCCAGATCGCATACATTGCCAATATTTAGATTGATAGTACTTGACTTCTTCGAAGACTCCGGCAGCGGTTCTATTCAATGGTGGAATAGGAAGTCTAATTGGTGGTTCTCCCATTAAAGTTTTGGCAACTGCAAGAGCAGATTGTGAGATTGCTGCTAAATTATAACCTCCCTCGAGACAGACTGCCACCTTTCCATCAGCAAGAGACATGAGCATATGGGTCATGTGAGAATAGCAGGCTGGTGTTACGAAACATCCTCCAAGTTCGTCTCCCGCAGCAGCGTCAAATCCTGCAGAAATTATGACAAGGTCAGGATCGAACTCTTGGGCAATAGGCATGACAATCCTTTGGAATGCTGCCATGTACTCTCCATCTCCCATTCCTTGAGAGACCCATCCGATATTGACATTCTTGCCAAGGCCAGGTCCACGACCGACTTTATCGTTACCACCGTCGGGAAGGCTAGGATCATCAGGTTGACCGGGATAAAATTGACCATTGTCATATACATGGAGTGAGATATATAAGACGTTTGGATCGTCGTAAAACATGTTCTGGGTGCCATTTCCATGGTGAATATCCCAATCCAGAATCAATACCTTTCTACATATCTCAGGATAATCCGCCATACAGACTTTAGCAGCTATAGGCACGTTATTAAAGACACAAAATCCTAGCGCCTCATTCTCTTCGGCGTGATGTCCAGGCGGTCGAATAATGGCAATAGCATTCTTTACATTCCCCACAACAACATGTTTGCAAGTTTCTATCGCACCACCTGCAGCGACAAGTGCAGCGTCGTAAGTACAAGGCCCAACATAAAGGGACTTTCGGCCAGTATCATATCTTTGATTTGCGTCGCGCAATTCTTCAGAGGTCATACTTAATAAGGACTCAACCCAGTCATAATGAAATGCAGTATGTGCCAGGCAGATCTCGTCTTTTCGGGCTAGTCTTGCCATGATACGCTGCATGTACTTGTTAGGTGATTCCTTGAGAATTTTCTCGACATTTTCCGCACTACCGGTATATACTAAGCCAGCGTCTTTAAAGGCTCTCATTATATGTTCTATCCGTCGAGGGTCTTCTGGGTGTGCCGTATTATCTGAATAGTCTCCAGAGGTGTGCAGCTTCATTCGATCGTCATAACAAACCCCAGAAGGGAGGTATGCTTGGCGTGGAATAGCTATAATCTTTGTATCTTCTGATGATGATGAATACATTTCATCCTCTGGGTCATGATAATCATAGGTGACTGCCATGTCTTCCGTAGTAGTTAGGACCCTGGGGTCAACAAATCCATTACCATTGCCGTTTGACAACACCCCGTTAATAGATCCTGCATGGACATTTTCATGTAGCTGAATCTGTTGCTGCTGTAAATGCATAAGTTCCTGTGTATTCGGCTGCATATCTACATCACCGCTTGACTGCAATAACGGGGGTCCTAATGTGTCCATTATTGACCGACCAACCCGTCACCAGGACTGATATTCAGTAGATGTTGAAAATAAACGACTGAAAGGTATGTCCTGTCATGCAAGAGGCCAGAATCATGCGACGTTAAATTAAAATACAAGCCCTCAAGCCTTAGCAGCAGGCAAGGAGCTCTTTGGGTACGAAACACCAAGATGCTGAAATGCCGTAGTCTTTCTTGATATTGCGAGAATAGGTCTGGCCGGTTGAGGTCAAGAAACTATGAACCGTCAGGAGATCTGTAAGTTTATCATGCAAAGTTAAAAGGATAAAGAGACCCAACGCCGAAAAGTACGATAGCATTGGATAATACGGTCAAAGAAGACTGGAGCTGGATCATTGTGGATGGATCCACCCCAGAACAGTGGGAGATACCTGGGGATGTGATATAGAAGCAGCCTGATAAACTGTATATACACATCATCATCCAGAAAATCCTAACAGTACTCCATTTCCATACTACACAATGAGTTTTGGATCATACGTGAATAGAGAAAAAATAGGAAAGTCATGTGACCGTAATATGAGGGAAGGACAGACATAAATTCTTTGTTATCTCTTGTAAAATCTAATAACAGAGTTGTACTTTCATAGCGGTTTCTTGAATCTACTTGACCCATACAAGTCAACGATAATGGAGTGCGAGGAATGAATGTTGATTGAGAACAGAAATGAAGTATGGAAACTTACCGAGACAATGATGAATGGGAATGGGATATAGCGGTTATCCGAAAGAAACAGTAGTTCTCAGGTATCGGAAGCCGATAATTATGTAAGAGAATGATGGCTGGCTATTGGAGTGTTTGGAAAGAATGTTATCCCGAGTCCGGAAATATAATATTGTCGAGTTCACAAGTTTATGGATGAATATTGTTTGTGAAGTTGCAGGAGAAGGAGAGATGGATTCCAAGTCGAAGCACCCGAGCCGACGAAATATTGTAGCCTGGAATTATAGGCAAGAACATTAGCACGTAAGTGCCCTCCAACATAGCAAAAATTAGGACATCAAGAGAATGTATTCTTTCAGTATTTGATATCAAATCGAATAGTCATTATTTAGATTTGAGATCATGTACAAACATTCAAAGGCTTTTGCTTTTTCTTAATGCTCACAAAACTGGGCACTGAAAGGTCTACTGATATTATTCTTCAAGATCGAAATGTTAGTATACAAATATCTGATTTTATTTGAGTGATTTAGTGTACCGCTTTTTTCGTCCATGTGGAGAGGGGCTGTAACTTTAAGGAAGGTTCTAGCCCAATGTAAATCAGACCAAAGATTTCTCACTTCTCCATATTTTGAGCCCCTTTAAAGATTCTCGTAGAGTGTTCATTCGGCAGTTGCTTGTATCAGCGATTAAGCTTGGCTATCCTGCCGAGAGCGATTGTAAGAAAGCAGAGGTCCTGGGTCTTCGATCCATTGACATGAATCGATTCGAAGTACATTAACGACAAAGATTACTTTCTGTATTCAAGAATCGAGGGGTTCATTATATTTGAAGTCCTTACCCAGTTGAAGGAAAGGTCAAGGGACGCAGCGGCACTACTGTTCATAGAATTCTATCCCAGCATACCTTCTGAAATGGCATCAGGTCAAGGGTGGATGGAGTTGGCAGCCATTCATGTGAGCGGAAATCATGATTCCATACATCACATCAATGCCAGCACGTATGAAATGGAAGAAATTCACATGATGAAGACGGTATTATGTTCTTGAGCTTGTTTTCATTCTTAACGCTATCATAAGGCATTCATCGTTACTCGGTAATAACTATTCATTTTAATGAAATTTGGCATCTGACATGGTATCAGAGCTTGCCTTTCAAGAATTCTCTGCCAAATAGTGGTCAGAGTCTTCACTACTTCCTAAACACTGAGCAAAAATCTCCTACTGCTTGTTATCAACCTTGGAGATGTAGTGGAGGAGATCAAGGACACGACGAGAGTAACCCCACTCGTTGTCGTACCAGGAAACCAACTTGACGAAGTTTGCGTTGAGGGAGATACCAGCCTTGGCATCGAAGATGGAGGAGTGGTTGTCACCGTTCATGTCAGTAGAGACAACATCGTCCTCGGTGTAAGCCAATATGCCTATATTACGATTAGTAAATTAAAATGGAAAAGATATTAATAGAGTAACTTACCCTTGAGAGGACCATCAGCAGCCTTCTTGATGACGGCCTTGATCTCGTCGTAAGAAGCACCCTTCTCAATGCGGACAGTCAAGTCAACAACTGAGACGTTGGCAGTTGGAACACGCATGGACATTCCGGTGAGTTTGCCGTTAAGCTCTGGGATGACCTTTCCGACGGCCTTGGCAGCACCGGTGCTCGATGGGATGATGTTTTGAGCAGCGGTACGTCCTCCACGCCAATCCTTAGCGGATGGACCATCGACGGTCTTTTGGGTGGCGGTGTAGGAGTGGATGGTGGTCATCAAACCCTCAATGATGGTGAACTCATCGTTGATGACCTTGGCGAGAGGAGCCAAGCAGTTGGTTGTGCAAGAGGCGTTGGAGATAACATCAACATCACCCTTGTAGGTCTCGTTGTTGACACCCATAACGTACATTGGGGCATCGGCAGAAGGAGCAGAGATAACAACCTTCTTGGCACCACCCTTCAAATGTGCCTTAGCCTTCTCGGTGGTGGTGAAAACACCGGTGGACTCGACAACGTAGTATGCCTCAGACTCAGCCCATGGGATGTTGGCTGGGTCTCTCTCAGTGTAGAACTTGACCTTCTTGCCATTGACCTCCAATCCATCGGAAAGGACCTTGATATCACCCTTGAATTGACCGTGGGTGGAATCATACTTCAACATGTATGCCTGTACATAAAATGATTAGCTCGGGTCCTCGAAATCTGCGGGAGGTCCGATAGCGGAAACTTACGGCATATTCAGTCTCGATAAAAGGATCGTTGACAGCGACGATGTCAATGTCATCATGCTCAATAGCATTTCTGAAGACGATACGTCCGATACGTCCGAAACCGTTGATACCAACTTTAGTAGGAGCCATTCTGGAAAATGATGTTAGAAGATGTTTGGAAGAAAGGTCTTTCGACTTGTTTGTTGACCAAGATAGCTTGGGGAGGTTAAAAGAGAGCTTCGGATGTAGCCGTCGAAGCTATAGATGATAAAGAAATGACGGCGGTGTTGAGGTTATGATGAGATAGGTGTAAGAATACTTACTTGTATGATTTTTTTGATGATTCTTGAGATGATTTTGTAAAGGGAGACTGGATTGTTTATGTAGGAAAAGGAAGAAACGGAGGGGAGGGGGACATAAAGTTGGTGGGGTCATTGTTGAATCAATTTTACGGTAGCGCCCCTCCTTTAGCGTGGAATGAATGTATGTGGACCGTGCCGTGTATTGGATGATCTGGATTTCTGGATCCATCCCTCACTCGCCCCTCGTCCCTCGAATAATGATTCAAATGCTGGTATGTACTAGGTGTGCACTCTGCAACGCCAAGTTTATTATCAAAGTCAGTGTTCACTCGTTGAAGTATGAAGTACCTACGTGTTACTCTTGATCTTCTTGGTTTTGTTTGAGAGGTTGAAGTTAATGCCCAGCTGGGTATCTAGTATGGAGATTGCTGTTTGTGTACCTAGTAATTACAAGGTATTGTTACTCGTATGATGGGGAATACACTTTCATGGCATCTGTTACTTGAACTCACTCCTGGTTCACGTCCAACGAGAGGTGACATATGGGACATACTGCCCAAAGTACCTGCTAACAAGCTTTGCGCACAGTCAGCTTCTACTTGTACATGCTAGCTAAGCAAGCTTGATGGCTATTGAGCTCTGAAGTACATACCAGGTAGTATCCAAACGGGTGTCCAGACAGGTACTTGACAGCCACTCCCACCTCAGCCGTTTACAATATCGTTACCACTCCTACAAGTTATCGCTCGACTCCTCGACCCCTCAAGCCCTCAAACCCCTCAAACCCCTCAATTACCATAGGTTGATATCTTGATATATCGGAATCAGTCGCCGGATTGCTTTTAGACCACGGTAATTCGGGTATGTAGAGTGAGACAATCTATTAACGTTTATCCGTATTATCGCGATCCGAGGCGAAAGAATCTATCTTCCATGGGATATCTGATTTTCATAGTATTTACAGAGAAGATACATAAGATACACAAAGTCTATACATCCGGACATGCAGACATCCAGACATCCAGACATCTCAAAATCTCACCCCATCTTACCATCATCCATCGTTCAAACTTTCGCCTCTCAGATTTCTTGGTCTTTGAGTCCAAAGCAATGCTCTCGTCCCGTATTGTGTCAGCCCATACTGAGCACAATGAATCACTCCACTCACTTCATACACGTGCTGCTTCGAGATTTTCTTCTTACATGATAACTGTTGAGTGAGTCAAATGGCTTTATAATGAGAGTTCTAATCATAATCAATTTCACATAATCTCGTGTAAATTGATGAGGAGGAGAGATTGAGCTTTGCTGAACAAGGGATTAAATCTCTGGACTCCGTTCTCCTACGGCCTCATTTTCGGACTTTCTATTTTTCTCTGATAACGCCCCACGTACGGTGGCCAAATTGTGAAAAGCTTATATTTAAGGGTTGAGAAAACAGCTGCAGAGAAGATTTTGGGAACCGTGAACGAGAAAAGATTTGTGTGCTTGTGCAAAGTATAAATGGCAGCCCTGGAGTCTTGAGATGATCGAATTGCATGTATGTGTATGTGTATGTGTATGTGTACGTGTGTGTGTATGTGTGTTGTGTGTTGCATCTTTTACTCATGCATGATTACAAATTACCCAGATGGTAGTCGCCAGCCTGCACACCCCGCCGCTTGCAAATGTACCTCTGCCACACGCGTGAAGAGGTACTTCTCACACAATATATGGTTCAAGCTTCTGGTGCCCAGATAGAGAAGATAAGCAAAGCAGATGCCAGCAACTCATATATTATAAATAAAAACTGTGACTTTCCATCGGATGGATCACTTCTGCGAAAGGTATCAGGAGCAAATGGTTATCCAAGTAAAGTCACGTTTCTTATGTTCACATGACTATCACGCAACGTTCTTGATATCCTTGCAATCCATACCTAGTGTCGAAACTCATTCCTCACTCCCCTCTATCACATTCAAAGCAAAACTCGGGTCTCAAATAATCTATTTCATTCGATCAGAGACAAGATCGATGGCCACTAGACCTTTGCACCCCAGGTCAACAGCTGTCGAAGGATATATCTCGGGCTAGCTACCATGTACCCCACAATTGAAGAACTCGTCCCCCATCTCAAGGTGCGGAATTGATACCAATCTATAAACAATCTAGAGTATTTGATGAAGATATATCGAAAATGATATATTGGTGTAGAGCTTGAAGATGGCGCCGGGTTATCTAAAATGCTACTGTGTCTATGCACCCGCTGACAGATGATGCAATCGCCAACCGCGGGATCTATTATCCATGCCGTCGGTAAATAAATTTATCTTGCTTTGTTTTTCCCTCTGTTTCGAGATCGGAATATCTCATCATATCATAACGAACGAATGTTGCTACCATGGCTGGGTGCCTCACGGTGTATACATACAAATAGATGTCCAATCCTTCAAAGTCCGTTCTTTGGAGAGCAGAACTTTTAATATCAATCTCTCAATATCCGGCACTGTTTCATAGCAACCTCACCATCCAATCGACATTTGATAATTTATAAACGTGCAAAAAATTTAATCATGGCCAACCGGATGACGTTGATTCGTCAAACCCAAGAGTCTCGAATTTCAACCAAATGAAGTTGCAACGAGATCAAAAGAGCTTCAATCATGGCGTAGTAACTCATCATCTATTCTAGCCCAAGAGAGTCAAATACTTTATATCCCGAGAACTTCAAATCCCCCAAACTTGAAGATATAAACTGACCACGTGACTCTACAAAGTGGACCTCTAGTTCGCTTAACGAAAAGCGTCTCCAAAGTCATCCGATGCCCCATCCTCCACCACCCATTCCAACTCGTACGTAGCTCTATCCTCTACAATTTGTATCAACACTCGTCCGCACGCATAACACCTCTCGAAATCTCCAACCCATAATCCTCCCCGTCGCAAACATGCTCCGCACATCAATTGTCCGCGCCGCCACGGGCTCTGTGGTTCGAAACCAGGTTCGATGTGCTTCCACTCATGCGATCAGTAATCCTACTTTGGCCGATATCGAGAAGAGGTGGGAGGGTATGCCGCCGCAGGAACAAGCCGAGCTTTGGATGAACCTGAGGGATCGCATGAAGATTAATTGGGCCGAGTTGACTTTACAAGAGAAGAAGGCTGGTACGTGAGATTCTTTTTTTGGTGGGAGATATGGGCTTTATATACAGAGGTTATTGGAGGGTGGTATATGCTTGGATAAATTGCAGAGAGCTGCAGATTGAAGCCAGCTTACCTCATGAGCTGTTGAATGGGAGGTTGCGGGGGTACAACATACTGGGATGGACATGGAGATTAAAACTAGGATTGAGATTGAAATTGAGGAAAACAACAAGGCTAACAGACATTGTGAATAGCTTACTACATTGCCTTTGGCGCCCACGGACCAAGAGCTCAAACTCCTCCAGGAGAAGGATGGAAGGTCTTTGGATACACAATGGGTGGAGTTGGTGTTTCCCTCGCCCTTTTCCTCTTCATTAGATCATTCGCAAAGGGATCTCCATCTACCATGAACAAGGAGTGGGAAGAGGCTACAAACGAATACTTAAAAGTATGTGTAATCTTTTTGGCATTCTCACAAATCTCATTCTCAACCGGGTTCTCCGTCTTTGAGCTTGGAATTTATCCAAAATATACAGGAACATAGGACTAACACTCTACAACACAGTCTCAAAACTCCGAACCCATCAGCGGTCTCTCCTCCGAAGGATACTCCGGCCCTGGTCAGGTCCAATCTGCACCCAAGAAGAACTAAATTCTCCCTCATACCAACTATACATAATGCCAGAAAAGAAAAGAATACATACCATACTCGGAACGGTGCTATTCGAAAAACTACCTGCATACAAACTCTTATTTCTTTTGTTGGATGGATGTGAGCCTGGAGATGGATGGGACGGAAAATGAACGGGGCCTGCATGAGATGATGAAGAAGGGAGATTTCTTGTAAAGGAAATCTTAGCGGATGGAAAGCATTGTTTTGTGCATAGAATTGGAGGGAGGGAGAATAAATCGGGAGGGTGCGGGAGAGAAGTGAGCGAGGGAGATGAGAGATCGAATTTTACAATGAACCTTTTTGTACAACAGTTCGTGAATGATCCCCTGTTTTTTGCGTGCGTGTGTTTAAAAGAACTGGCTTCTGTGAATGCTTGGATTAGGTAGATTGAAAAGTTGACTGATTTCCAAATGGAACCGTGGTTTTTGCATATCATATCTCAATCTGCAATGTTACATCACAGTATGCGTATACACATACATACGGACACGACCATAAGAGTCAAGTACTATTTCCTCATTCCCACATCTGGATACCAGCCTATTCAAATACACAATTGTTCATTCATCATCACTATCACTATCTCCTGCTTCCCACTTCCTACTTCCTACTTCCTTTCTTCCTTACATGTATCAAGAATCCGCAAACATACGCGCCGAACTCCCTCCCTCCGTACCTGTACATTGAAATCCTCCATCCACGTTAAAGATATGCACATGGTGCAGGTGGATTGATCATGAAACTGGGGACGAAATCAGAGACGAAATTGAAGACGAAATCAACAATGGATATAAAAAATCGGAATCGGAATTAGATTGTGGCAACCGGCTTTCCTTTCTTTCTTCCTTCCTTTCTTTCTTCCTTCCTTCCTTCTTTCCCAAGAGAGATGCGAGATTAATCGTTGAGAGTTTTGTTTTCTTTTTCAAACCAATTGATTAATCAGTCCTGGTTTATAAGTCCGGGTTTTCTTCTTGGCTTTGTGTTCTTTTTCTTGATTTGTTGGGCTGCGGATTTAGTTGTTTTGGGGTGCTGGACGGACATGGTTTCTGCGG